TCCATAACCAGTCAGGGCTGGAGATTTCTGCTCACAGCCCATAAGAAGCCATCTTGGAAGCCAGTCCTCCAGCTCCATCAAGCCCAGCTGGGGTTGACTGCAGCTTGTAATAACAAATCAACTCCAACATTGGCCAAGTACCCAACTAAATGTACCCCCGGCCCACAAACACTGAGACCACATATGTTTGTTACTTTAAGCCACTACAGTGATTCCTTGGTTTTCGAACAGCTCCAGTCTCAAACTTTTCATTACTCAAACAGCAAAGTTCAAAAAAATTCTGCTCAGTGTTCATAACTTTGCTCAATAGTCATACTGAAAATCTGACTTGCAAAAACCTGTACAGACTCAGCGAGTCATGCATCGCCTCTCAACATAGACACGAAGGGGTGACACTTCAGTCTAAGTGCCACTCTCACCCAGACAACATATAGTGCTGTTAGTGCATTAAAACACTCTTCATTGTGCTTTTTCTTTGCACTTTGTTTGTATAAAATATCATAACCATGGCTCCAAAGAAAGTTAGTGATACCATCAGTAAATCTAAGATTTTAAAACTGTGAGAACCACGATACAGTTAAAGAACGAAATCATTGCAGAATTTGTTAAAGTCCTGGAAAATGGAAATATGAATTTATAAATGTAAGTTTTGGGCCTCAGAACCAATTATTTGGTTTTCCATTATTTCTCATGGGAAAAATATGTTCAGTTCTCAAACTTCAGCGTTCAAACATGAATTTGGAATGAATTGAGTTTGACAACCAAGATATCGCTGTATGTTGTAAGGTAAGTTTTTACACAGTGATAGATCATGAATACATTGAGTTTCTATAGCTTTGATCGATGTGAAGAGTTACTTTGTAATGGGGGGAAAGCCCTACAAGATAAAAGATGATGCAAAGAGAAAAAAAGTAAGAGCATCCAAAGCCAGTGCCTTCAGATGACCAAACATTAGGAAAACACAATCCATGTTCTCCCACAAAACCTTCCGAGAAAGATCCTGTGCTAGTTGCACTTCACCAGCTGAGAGCTGGGTAAGAAAAGGGAAAATTCTATATCTGCATCCCAGGAAATGAGAGGCAGGGGGCGAGGAGGCAGGGAGGCGAAGGCAAAATATTTCAGCAGCTTTTTAACAGCAAGGGGAATAAAGAACGTGTGCCGAGCACAGAGCAAATGTAGAACATCGGCTGTGATACAGAGTCACAGGAGGGGCGTCGATATTTAAGGGCCAGCAGCAAATCGTAAGGAAAGCTCTCACACTGTCTTTAATCAAGGCGACCTGTCCCACGAGACTGTTTCCCTAGCCACAAGCCAGGACACACAGGCATTAATGAAGAGCTGCACAGAGAGGGTCCTCGCCGAAGCAGCAGCCCTGGCTCAGAGCTTCCAGGCTTTCATTCTATTTCTCACCAAGTTTCCTGCCAGATTGGTCTTTGGCTCCCATAGCTCTTTGGACACCGGAATATTGAACACAAGAACCCTATTTCTCTCTCTCTCAGCTTTGCATCTGTCTGGAACTCAGCTGTCTTCCTAGTGAAACAAGCTTGTCACCAGCACTGGGGACACAGCAGCTGTGCCCTCCCCCCCCAACACACACACTTCCCTTTGTCTGGAAGGGGCTGTCACTTCTTCATGGCATCGGAGTGAGGCCAACTCCTTTTCTCCTGCGTTTGCTTGGAGAGTCCTCTGTCATCCAGCCTGGGGCCCCTTCCATGTCTCCTCAGGGTAACCATGGACTGGCTGTCTGAGGAGACCTCACTGTGACCACAAGGAGGGCATGTAGAGTGACAGAGGTCTCACAGACCTCCTGAGGGAGAGGTTGTGGGATGTTCACCTCGCTCTCAGGATCAAGCTCAAATCCTGAAGCCAGCCCCGCAGAGTTCCGGCTGCACATGTGCCCCCATCCGCCCTGCTCTGCCCCCCCCTGGGGGCCTCACTGTGCAATTGGCCTCCACGCTCCCCCTGTGCTCGCTCTTCTGGGTCCTGCTGGTCCAGGCCGTGCGTCTCAGCAGCACAGTGCCATTCACAGGAGATGCTCCTGAGACTCTCGCAGGGGTACTTTTCTGTTTTGTTTTTAGAGACCAGGTCTCACTATATACTTCAGGCTGGCTTTGAATGCATGGCAGTCCTCCTGCCTCAGCCTCCTGAGTGCTGGGATTATAGGCAGCCACCACCACGCCTGGCTTTGCAAAGTTTTTTTTAAAATCATATTCGCATTTACCTAATGGGTCACTCAGCTTCCCTTGGTCACTCACAGAGTCCCAGGCCCCAAGGCTACCCAAATACACCAAATCAGAGAGCACACAGAGATTGCAAACAGTACAGCCACAACCCACTGAGACATCCTGGCCATGGCAGCAGGTCTCCTGTTTTGAAATGTGTGGTTACTAGGTGTCCTTGGAGCCAGGCTTCACCAGACCCTGCACAGCCCTGACCTCTCTTCTCTGAGACTCCCACTAAAGAGTTAATTCATGATCAGAGCAGGCAGGGTAGAGCTCTGAGGACTGCCTCGGTTACATATGTTTGTATGCATACATAAGCAGCAACATTCTCTGTTATGTTTTTCTGTGTACTGGGTTTTAAAAGATTTGAAAACCTACAACAGAAAGCAGCCTGGGCACTTGTGGTGGGAAGTGAGCCCGAGTGAGGGGAACCGTATACTTCTTCAGCAGGGAGATCCATATGAGCGGGAAGCCCGCAGGGACAGGGGCGCACGTGAGCGTGCAGTACAGCATTCAGCAGCCGTATCCTTCAATCCTTGCTTCCACAGTTCACTAGCCTGCTCTTGGTAACACTCATTTTCCCTCATTACAATATAATGCCATTTTATGTCTGTTTTATACAGCGTCGTGATAATCATGGTTCGCACAACAGAAAAAAAATCTGATCTCTTTTTCTTATTTCTGGGCCTGACGGCGCTGACCGTGCTTTTCTGGCCTCATCGTCATATACTTCCAGTTATATAAAATGGGAGGCTCAGAAGAACAGAGAGCTGAAGCTTCCATTTCAAAAAATCTATTGTTTCGGCTCAGTGAAAGACAATCATTTTTCTCTCTGTTTTTCCTGTGATGCTTGGATCACAAGGCTAAGAATAAAACCTCACTGCCCAGCATGCAGGAAGGGATCCTAGTTACACCTGGAACACGATGCACTGCTGGGAAGGAAGAGCCCCTTGGATGCCAGCCTAAAACTTCAACCTGCAGACCCCAAAGGCACCCGTCAGTCAGTTGGTGATCAGCGAGGTTCACTCCCCAGCGCCCCAAGGGGACTCTTCACTTCCTGTCTCACTGCCCCATCTACCTCGTGTGAAGTGCAGGACCCGCCTGCGGTGCCTAGGGAACACAGACAGGAGCCTCACGGAAGAGAACCACCCATGCAGGTTCCCTTTTCCAGCGGTTGTCTGGTCCATCATCGGAGAATGCCTGGCTGATTTTCCTGCCTCAGTCACTCACGTCGTCTTGCAGGGCAGGAAAGACTCAGTTTGGCAAGATCAGCACTAGGACTTACAAAAAGAACAAAGAGAACTTGTGACTGGCGGGAGTGGGCCAGGCCCAGGCCCTGGCTCTACGCTTCCTGAGCCACAGTTTCTCCATTCCCTTCCCAGAGCCCCGGTGACAGAGGTGGCCTCCTTCCAGGCTGCCAGACATTTGTGTGTTGTGAGGGAGCTATGCCTTCTCTAGGTCTGCTGATTTTGTGCCCTAACTCGTGGAAACCTTCAGAAAGAAAGGTCACAGCTGGATGGCAATCAAAGCACTGAGCAACCAGTGAGGGCCTGTTAGCGGAAAGCGGCTCCGCCTGCCCCTTGCTCCCTGCAGCTCCAGCTCCTGAGGCCTGAGAAGCAGAAGAGGAGGAGGAGGCGCCTCTGGTGCTGGGGGAGGGGAGGGCGTGTGCCGTCCAACTCCACGGTGACGATTAAGAGCTTCAGTGACCAATAAGAGCTTTGTGTTGGGACGGCTTAGGGTGGGCCTTCAACTAAGAATAATGCGTTTGGAAGACAAGGGACGCAAAGCTTCACTTCCAGGGGAGAAACCACACATAAAAGCACACAACGTGTAGAAGAGAGGCACAGGGCACCATGCCTGCTGGCACGAGTCAAGGGTGAGGGCGAAATACGGCCTGTGGCCTCTGCATTTGACTTTCCTAATTCTGTTACAGGGCTGGATCTCGCGCAGCTCACAAGTGTGTGGTCACAAAGCACACAGGTGACAGCTGGCTTCTCCCGACCCACATTCTAGGAACTGTCTCGGAGAAACCTCCCACCATGCCCGTGACTCCTCTCCGCAGAGCCTCCTTCATGGTGACTGTGTCACCTCCATGTCCCACTTCTCTTTTTCGAAGCTTCTGAAATGAGAGATCTCTGTTTTCTTTTGGGGGGGAATGACAGGTCCTGAAACTTGGTGAAAACCAATCACAGGAATCTTATAATTGTGCTACATGGCCAGGGATTTAGCTCAGTGGTGCCACCGCTTGCCTCAAAAGTGCAAGGTCCCAAGTTTGATCCCAGGTACCAAAAATAAATAAATAATAAATAAATAATTGTGCTACATGATTCTTTTGTGGCAAAAACACAACACTGGTCCATTAAACTGTCTCGTATGAGACGGTGATTGGCCATACACAGTGTTTTAAACTGAGGCTTACAGCTGTGTGGTCCCTGTAGGGATATCAGGCATCATATGCTGATAAGACCCATGGCTGCTCTGCAGATTGTCACTGACCATTGACATCATTTTCTGATTCTTTAAACCGGAAGCGACATCTTTTTAAAATAGAGGTGAGTTGGGAGAGTCCCAGACTTCCTCTGTCATACAAGCAGATGTGACTCTTGATAAACACTTTGCACCCAGCTCAGTTTTCTCTGTGATCTGTGATCTGGGGAGTAACTGACAAGAAATCGAGGCATTGATGCAGAGAGCCCTGGGGGCCGCTCTCCCTGATGTCAGCACTGTGCCTGGCTCATTTCCCAGCAGAGTCCCCATGGGAGGAGTAGCCCCACTTACCTCGTTCTCCTGGGGTCCCCGGCAAGCCTGTGTTTCCTGGGAAGCCAGGGGCACCGGGGGGCCCTTGTTCCCCGGGGGTTCCGGGTGAGCCAGGCCGTCCGGGCTCCCCGGGAGGCCCCTGGACGGTGCGGGTGGATGAAGAGTGGCTGGGGATCTGGTTGAGGACGGCAGCGTACCTGGCCATGTGATCTGTGGCAAGAAGCACAGGGGCGGCCCCGGGCGAACAGTCAGAGACACAAGGCACGGGAGGCGTCATTTCTTAGGGCACCCGACCAGCTGTCCCATATCCAGCAAGCAGAGAGCACACCCCTCTGAAATATGTTGATCTCCAGCTTCGTGTTTTTTACATGTCACTTCGGATGAGATTACAGCTGGAATCTGTGCAAGGCCCCTCTCATGGGCTTGGAATTCCGTGGTTCATGGCAGCATCATAAAAACCTCACTGAGCAGAAGTCATAAATTTCATCTTCACCCCAACGTTTACGTGACCCCTCACCCTGGCTCAGCTGCCCTTCCTCCAGCGAACCTCTCTCCCCGAGTCGCCTCTCTCTTTCCCAGCTGCCTCACCCTGTGCACCAGCCCTAGGCAGCCCTCTGTCTGCTCCTTCTCCCACCAGACCTTTGCTTTCGGGGGCCCTGGCGGTACTTGGGGTCCCAGCTGCAGAAACTCCCACCAGCTCTGTGAAATAGAACAATCTCGAGCTCTTTTCCATAACCCCTTCACCCTGTTAGGCCAGGGAGGGTGCGTCTTAATAACCAGAAGGACAGAATTAGAAAGCCCTGGGGAACAGAATATCTCACTCTCAGGATGATCAGGAGACATGTTCGTGAATTTTCTAGATCACTATTATTTATCCTTTTGAACATATTTCAATCTAAGTAAAAAGAAAATAACCACGCTTTGAGGAAGTTCTCTATAATACATGCAAAGCCTTCTTTCCTCAAGCGTTGGCCCCTAATAGTGGGTAGGGACTCTCTTCGATGACAGGGGCTGTCACAGGCAGCCCATGGGTGTCCGACAGGTGAGACGTTTCTTAGCCGGCTTTCAGCTTCCTCCTCTGACAAGGGGCTGTCCTCTGTCCCACTGCCAGCTGTCATCACTGGGCCTTGCACGGTTTCCCGTGGAACTCAGCGTAATTCTTCTGATTAAGGGAGAACTAAACACCAGATGGCTGAGCTTGTAAAGAGTTATACACCAAGCGATAAATCAAGTTCCAAGTGGAGGCTTAGGGATAAAGCAAGTGGACAGGGAAACTGAAGCACGGTTTGGAAGGAAGACAGCCGCTTTGCCAGCGATGTGGCACTGAGCGGGCTGGGGATGAGCTCTTTAGTTTCCTTTTCTTTCATCAGCATCGACACACAGTTCTCCCTGTTTTACAGACGGCTTGGTGAAGCTCTCTTGTCTGACTCCCTAACTCTGCTTTCTAGAAGACTGATTTCTAGAGGGGGGAAATCAATTTCAAACTCTCAGGTTTTAGGGCATGTTTTAAATAATCATAGATCAAAGCAAAATTTTTATCCTACAGTAGAATAAAGCAGCAAGTACTGTGAAATCTTCCTCTCATGGTGGTCACTGAGTTATATGAAGATTTAATCCCTTCTGCTTTCATACAATAATGATCTACCACCCATGTACACTGCACACTGAACTAAGAAACCTACAAAATAATTCAGGCTGTAAATTAGCTTTGGGTGCATTCTATACCCAGAGTGACCGAACTTCAGTATCCTCTTAAAATTTATTATTTTTAAAGACCTTATTTATTTTGGCATTGAACTTTTCTTTTAACTTGGTTTCATTTAATTGGTAAATTCTCTCTCCCATACCTATTTAACTCGAGCATTATAACATAAAATGAAAATGAAAACGTAAGGACCAAGACGACTGTGTGTGAAGACAGCAGCTCTGTCCCTCATTTGCCCTGACACTGCTGTCTTAACGAGAACTCTGAGTTCCTGAGGATTCTGAGTCCACGGCCCTCTAGAGAGGTCTGGGTCTGTGGCAGAATACAGGGGGAGTTCCGAGCCACCACCTCTTGGACATCTGCGGGGCCCTCTCGCCTAACCTCCCAGCTCCCCTGGGTTGAATTGGCCCTGACCCTGAAGCTGACAAGACTGCCACTCTGAGAGCATCAGCCCCCAAGTTGGAGGGGAAGCAGGGCAGGGAGATGGACAGGACAGCGGCTAGAGCCAGGCGGGTCTGAGATGAGTATTTTGTCTGTATCCAGCCTCAGATCTGGAACCGTGAACAAATTAGTGGAAAGGAGAAGGCCGACCCTAGCAGCCCTCAGTTAGAGTTCTGAGACAAAATAGACAGTTGGTGGGCGGAGCAAGTGAGCAGGAGGAGAGTGTATGAGGGAGCGGCCTGGACCAGTCATTGCAACACCGCAGACTGAAAGTTCAAGTTTAAAGGGAAGATATGGGGCAGGCATGATATCACGTGTGTTCCGGTGTGATTTCAGGCACAAAACCCACGTATCACATCCACTGTTGCATCTACCCTGACACTGTCGTGTGTGTGTGTGTGTGTGTGTGTGTGTAAAACCTAGGCAAGGCCCTTGGGCTACCAAAGACAGCAGATGTAAATGGATATGAGCGAGACACTGGCTTAAATCTCGTGAGTTAATAGAAATCAACATCATGGAGCTTCCTTCTGGAGGGAGCTCCTGAGGATACTGTCTGGTGGCTTTTGGGGGGTTAACCACTAGAGCAAAAAAACCCTCCCCTTGCAGAGAAAGGAAGGTGGCAGTGTGACTCAGACAGCCAAGTTAAACCCACATGGGCAGCTTCCTCTTCTTGACTAAGGACCCAGAGGTTTGGCTTCTGCCTGCCAATGTACAATCTACGAGGCTCTTTAGGTGGAGCAGGATAGCGCTGGTAAAGCTGCATCCAGATGCCTTGATTACTATGGGGATGGGACAGGCCAGCTCCCATTGGGTGGGACCCGGAAGGACCGCGGTGCCCACAGTGCACTTACTTTGGATGAGCTGCTCACACACTTGCCGCGCCACTGCCCTCACCATGGCTTGAGACTGCAGGTCACCCTGGTGAGACAAAGCAAGGTTCAGGCACAGACACACACACACGCATACACACACGCTGCCAGGACTTCCAGCGCGTGGCCACCTTGACCCCACGCCCTCATCGGGCTCCACGTCTGAGAATGAGGACGACAGAGGCATGGCCCACACAGGGGCCGGCAGTCCGCACTCAGGCCTCAGCCTCCCCCAGAGTCCTCATTGGATTAAAAAGCTCAGGGAGGGCCAGGGATTTAGCTCAGTGTTTCTGCCGCCTGCCTCACAAGCGCAAGGACCCGAGTTCGATCCCCAGTACCAAAAAAAAAAAAAAAGCTCAGGGAAACATCTCTGGCACCACATTCTAACAGCATTTTCGTTTTGCAATAAATCCATGTATGTTTAATGTCTTACTGACAGCTTCTTTAGAGTTTATAAAATATGTCACCTTCTCAAGCAGTGGCTCATTTAATACGGGTCACAACTCAGAGAAAAGCTGCTAACCCAGTTTCATAGCTGACCAGCGTTAGGCACATCACCCAGCCTTCCCCAGAAGTCAGCGATGGGGCCAAAGCCGGTGCTGTGTCTACTCCAGCCAATCGCCCTTGTATCAGCGGCTGCCCAATCTCTGAAAGGAGACAGCAGGGCCCTCAAATGAGCTGATTCAAGTTCGGGGCCAGTTCTCCGATTCTATGTCTGCCGTTGTCTTCCAGGGTGCCGAAATTGGGCTGTCTGGGAGAACAGGAAGCCCGTGCTACTGCTCAGAACTTGTATAGCCGTTTCTTTATCCAAAAGCCTTTTGCATTCATGATGTAGCTTTCTTGTCAAGTTTGATTCGCCCTATTTTCTCCTTAAAGAACTGAGCCCAGGAGCACGGAGCTGGCTGGTGGCAGATATGTAACTGGAGACCAGCTCTCCCAACCTCCCACCTGCAGGGCTTCCTGGGCAGCAGGGCAGGGGTGCGGAGAGGGCTGCAGGGCCACACAGGGCAGCTGCTGTGGGCCTGGGCATCTCAGCTGCTCTGTGTGCCCCTGTGCAGCCAGCTGCCCCGCCCAATGGCAGGTAGAGACTTACTCGTTCGCCTCTCTCTCCCTTTGCTCCAGGGACACCCTGTAAAGATGAAAATCATTGTCCAGTTACTAAGGATACTGTGCTCAGCTCAAGAGTATTGATAGTGTCCCTTTCTCCCGGGATTAGCACACTGTTCCTGACTTTGGTAGAAACAGTTGCAAAAGACAGGAATAGATCATACAGCCATCTCACCAGCATACACAGCTGTTAAACATCTTCTCCCTTCAGCCTTTGGATGCAGAAGTGTGGGGTTTTAAGGTATGACACTAGGACCAGGCAGCAATATTGTTTGACAACGCATAGTGCCACTGAAGAGGCTTCAGTCCTGCCCGTCTTTCTATACCAAACATCACACTGTGGATTGAGCTCTATGGATGTTTCATAGCTAATTTCATGACTCTCTTCTGAATAGCTAAATTGTTTCAATTCTGAAGAGGCTATTAAAGGAAAGAGAACAACTCCTCTTATGGAAATCCCACAGCCTCACTCTTCTTCCTATCGGGTGTGATGGTTCATGACTCTCCCGAATTCCCCATAATATGGGGCTCATAAGTGCACGAATTCTCAGCAGAATTGTTATTTCATTATCCTGGACCCATAACAAACTACTATTGTGAAAATTTCCCTGAGTAAAACAATAGTTTTTGGTGTTTCTGCAATAAAATGAGACATACAATGCGAAACAGGTGTCATATTTTTGTTTCAACTCAGGGGCAAGGTCATAAACGCCCCTAAAACCAGTGTGAATGGAATTCAGAGATGGAGCATGCCATGTTGTCCACTCTCCCTGCTGTTACTTCAGCCTCAGCAGGTCCCAAACCCAACTGGGCATCGTTTCCAAATTCTCTGTTTGGTTAACAATTCCCCAAATGCAAAATTCTGAGCTTGCTCCACAGTGTCCAGAGAAAGAAAATGCCCCGCCATGTGTATGTAGATTTAGGAGGTGGAGACGTTTCTGTAACTGCTGATTTCAAGCTACAAATATGCAGTTGTGGAAGTGGGAGTTGGAAAAACAGAGGAGCACACAGTGGGTCCCCTCTCAGATGGCGGCAGAGCCCACTGCGAGTTGCTGTCTCTTCTCCTTCCTCCCCATCCCCCGTGTCTGTCTCACACACACACACAGGTGCCACCCTTACCATCTCACACCAGGCTATTTGCCATACCTTTCTAACTGCCTTCCTGAACTAAAGCTCTCCCTTTCCCTCTACATGACTCTTTTCAGTTTGTACAACTCGCCAATTTGTGTTTCCTTTCAGCTACCCTGGTTGAAAAAAGAGACAGAAGAAAAATACTCAAAATATGCCGCTGTGGGTTCTGGAGTATTAGGGGGGAAGAAAAGCTGATTCTGTATTTAAAAACCTTTTTTGCAAAAGTAAGATTTACATAGCGCTGTCCCTGCACCAGCTCTGATTGTTTTTGGAAATGAATGTACTGGCCATGCTCTCTCTCCTTATGCCTTGCGGCCTCACAAATGGACACAGCCCGGAAGAGACAGCAGTGCCTGGCTCCAACTTGAGATAACAGCTGCTTATATTACCACCAAAGGAATCCTTCTCAGGCAGCAGATACAAGACAAAACCAAAAATCAGCACGCAAAACTAAACATTCCACAATTTTTGATTTTAAGAAAGCATACATTCTAGTAATTAATGCTTACATTGGTTTTCCCATCTCCCAGCCATGGTTCTGGGTTCTTTAACGTGGTGACTCAGTTAATCCTTGCAACTGTCTTGTAAGATAACTCACTGAATCCTTATAATACTTCCATAAGATTAACTCATGTGGCCTTACACCACCGATGTAAAGTATTTCCACTTTAGGGATCAGGAAAAGGATGTGTTGAAAAGTTGTGCCCAAGGTCACACAATAAGGACCTGGACAAGCTGGAACCTGAACCCAGGTTGTGGGTCTTGGATCTATGCCCTTCAAGCTCATGCTGCTCAACACATCTGCCAGCTCCTATTTCCCAGGCCAGTGAATACTGATACTTCCTAATTAAAACAAACAGGGCTGGAAAGGCAGCTCAGCAGCACCGCACCTGCCTGGCAAGTACAGGGTCCTGAGTTTGATCCCCGGTACTGGAAAACAAAACAAAACACCATACCATGCACATACCACCTAATTCTAGTAACTCAGAGTTAGTCTTTAACTTTGGTCATATTTTAAATCTGTTTTTATCTTGAATATTTTTATTCTTGTACCAATACATCTTCTGCCACTTCCATTCCTACCATTTATTATATTGGCCTGTTTGGGAATGTTTCAAACTTTAGAGAAAGAAAGCACAGTGCAAACCGGATTGGCAGAGTAAATGCACAACATCTGCTCTTGGCATCTTCAGGAATGTGTGCATGGGTGTATTTCAGTGGGGCCAAAATATCTCAGCTTGGTGTCAGGATGCTCATTATTAAGGACTAAAGGACATAGCTGGGCAGGCGCAATGAAAGGTCTTTTTAGTGAAATATTGGTTCAGCAAGAAATTATTTTTTATTCCAACTTCTCTAACATCTTTTCCTTTGCTTTTTTCAAGCAAAAACAAAATAAGATTTCCTGAGCAAGCGAAGGCCCATAATTCTTCCAAAGAACGCTTTGGGGGAAAACACATAGACCCCGTAGATGCAGACGGGAAAAAGTGGAACATTTTCCTATAATGTCAGGAATGCTTGAAATGTAAAGAAAAGAGGAAACAGTAGCTACATTCATAGCTTTGCAGAAGTTTACTGCTGAAAGGAAGAGTAATGATCTCACCACGTAAGTCTCGCAGAGTAAAGACGCCTGTGGGAAAGAATGAGAGCTCCCCAGGCCGGCTTCCAAGGAGTTCAGTGACCTGACCTTAATCTACAGGAAGAATCTGTTAGTGCCCCTGAGCCCCGCTAACTAGAACACAAACATGAACCTGTTCCTTCTTTAACTTATGTAATAAGTGCTCTACCTAGCAGGTATGGAGAGAGCTCCAGGAACACACACTAAGCAGGGTAAAGTTCCTTCCTCAGGTGAGAGACAGAGATCAACAGTTGGAAGGGCCAAGCAGGAGAGCATGGCTGTTATGGTTTAGATCTAAAACGTTCCCCCAAGTTCTCGTGTATGGAAGTCCATTGGATCATGGGGGCGCTGTGCTCATCAGGGAGTTAATCTGTGGATGAGTTCATGGCTGAATGTGCTGTTAGGAGGTGGGGCCTGGTTGGGGTGGTCACTGGGGTGTGTCTTGGAAGGGTGTGTTCTTGTCCCTGGCTCCTCCCTGCCATCTGTTTCCTGGCTGCCACCTTTTCCTCCACCATGCTGTTTCTGTCTTGGAGTCAGCCAGTCATGGACTGAAACCATGAGCCAAATACACCTCTCCTTCAAGTTGTGGGTATTGGGTCTTGTGTCCCAGCAATGAGAAAGTGATCCGTACAGTGGCTTTACACAGTCTTAAAAGAGAATAGCCTGGTGTTCATCGGGTGGTGATAGGAGAAGAGAGCAACACAGAAAGGCAGCAGGGCGGCCCCCAAGGCAAAAAGGCATGGAGCAGTATAGTATAACATGCCTTTGGAGAGCTTTAAATAATTCAGTATGACTCAACTCAAGTGAAGGATGATGACAGACCAAGTTGGAGGAGAAAGTAACGGCCTGTGAGGAAGGCCACATACACCACACTGAACATATGGGACCTGTCCTCTGGGGTGGGGACCAGGAAGGAGCCGAAGCAGGGGAAGACACACTTAGAGAAGCCCTGGCAGATGGGGAATGGACCAGACAAGTCTAGAAAGAGGCCAAAGGTCCACCTAGGGCTTCTTGTGATGGTCTTGATGGGAGAGGAGGAGGGCCTGAAATAAAACTGCAGTGGCTGAAAAAGAGATGATAAATAAGGAAATGCATTAAAGGTAGGAGGTACCCTGTGTTTTATTACATTCCTCCCCCAATGCCTTAGTTATTTTCTCATTGTTGGGACAAAATACCAACACCCACAAATTAAAGGAAGAAAGGTTTATTTCAGGTCACAGTTTGTAGAGGTTTCAGTCCATAGTCAGCTGTCTCCAAAGCAGGCTGACATGGCAGAGGAGAAACAGTCCATAGCAGAGCAGGCAGAAGGCAGCAAGCAGCAGCAGCAGAAGTGAGCCTGCCTTTCCTTTTTATTCAAAATAGACTACAAACCTTTCGGTTGGTGCCACCCACACCAGGGTGGGGCTTCTATCTTCAGCAAATCCATTCAGCCACACCTAGAACTATGCTAATTCCAATCAATGGACTAATCTAGTACCACACACCCCTCATCCCAGTATCACACACCCTAGATCTGGCCAGCTTGCAGCACATAAGGCTTTCGGGGGGGGGGGCACATCTAGATACAAGCCACAACACCCAAGTCATGCCCACTTTCCCTGACTTTGTGGATGAGAATTCCAATTACATCAAGATCCCACTGAAACACATATTCTTCTGGAGCTGCTGCATGCACCTACTCAGTCTCTCTCTCTCTCTCTCTCTCTCTCTCTCTCTCTCTCTCTCTCTCTCTCTCTCTCTCTCATCACTTAAGTGATGAAGCTCCCACAGCTAGGTGGCATTGTGTCGGGGTCACATCTGCAACCCCGATATCCTGAATTCTGCTAGGGAGCTCTGTAGATGATGTAGACAGGGCCTATCTCCCTATGTAGGGGCAAGCTGAACACATGGCCCTGCAACAAGCAGCCCCTTTCTTCCTGGCTCTCATGGTGCCCCTGCCTGTGCAGGGGTGTCATCTCAACTCAGGTAGGAGGTGGAACCTCTGTAGCAGCAAGGCACATTCTGCTCTGCTGAGCTGGCAACTGGGGGCAGAGAGCACACGCTGCTGGTGCCAGCTGACGGAGGTACATGCCTGTTGCCAGTGGTACAGTCTGGCCCTCTTGGTCTCCTTTCCTCATCTTCCTCGACAGACGTCCATGGGAAATCAATCAGTCAGCTCTGTGCAGTGCAGTCTGCTTGAATAGTCTTGCCAGCCTGGCAGCCAGCAAGCCTGTGGGAGCTGGCAGCCCAGACACAGGAGAAAGCCCCAGCTGGCAGCTAAGGAACAACTTGCATCTGACAGGAAATGCCAAGCCTGCCACAGTGTCCCCACCCAGCACACATGGCTTCTGCCTCTGATACAGTGCCCTGGGTGCCACCCTCCAAGGCCTTTTCCTGCTGATTTATAACAAAAATAAAAATAACAAGTCTTCTATTCATAGGGAAAACGTATGAGTATTTTTCTATGCCCCACATTTAGAGTCTAATCTGAGCCCCAAAAGGCCAAGTGGTGGCCAAGATGGCGCCATGCTTGCTTGTGTGTTCCACAGACTCATCCCACTGAAACTCCTGGGCCCCAAAGCCTGCTCTTCTCTCCTTAGCCCTTTCCAATTGCATCCCTCCCAGACTGGGATCAACCCCTGGCTTGCTCCTTCCTCGCTGAGGACAAGGAGAACTAGTTCTAAGAGATACCCATGAGAACAAGAAGATCTCCCCACGTATGAGTACGTTTGTTGACTGTCTAACAAAGTCAAGCTAGTGTCTGGGCATTTCCTTTCTCATTTTAGGCTGTGGGAAGCCTCTGATATCCTGACATCTGCATGACTTTCATGGCTGAGGCTGAGGCTGAGGTGCCTCTGACATCTCTTTGACCAGAGCTCCTTGCTCTCTGATCTGTGCTAATGTATTCTCCAACTCTGGTTCCCAGGGGCACATTTTAGGAAGCAGACTAAAGCCTTGTAGTAGCAAATACGTTTTTAAGTCCCTTTCTGGTGTAGAATAGACTAGAATGGAAGGAATAACTACGCTAATGTGGAAAGGATCATAGACAGGTGAGGCTGTGTATGCGACTGCGTGTGTGTATTTGCACATGGGCCCTCACGTAAGTGTCAGTGTATGTTTCCATGTACAGAATCATACTTGGTCATGTCTTTTTGGATCAAAAAGAGACTTAAAACTGCTTTGAACGATGGAGTTGGAATAAGTATGCTGTGGCTTTGTAACGTGACTGCTAAGGCAGCGCTTATTTACATGTAAAATGAGGGTGTGTTTGCTAAGATGCAGGTGCACTACTGTGCACACCTGTGTGTTCAGACATGTGAGTTGGAGTCTAGAAAAGGCCTCTGAAGATAAAACAGTTTTACTGAAGTGAGTTTGAAGTATAAACAGCAAGTCTGGTTGGGTAGAGAGAGGAAGCGAAGTGTCTTTGTGAATAAGAACCAATGTTTCTGATATGTCTTATTCCTTATGTAGGCAGGGAAAAAAGATTCCCCGATATGTCCATCCCTACTTCTCAGATCCTGTGACCATGTCACTTCATGTGGAGAAGGGACTTCGCACATGTCATTTAGTCAAGGACTGTGAGATTACCCGGGGAAATTACTTCGGATGATCCTGGTAGGCTTCATGCAATCACAGGGGTCATTAAAAAGCAAGAACTCTTCCCAGTTTCGGTCAGAGATGTGAGCAGGAAGGGGAGTCCAGCACTGCTGGCTTGGAAATGGAAGTGGCCGTGAGCCAAGGACTGGGGGCCATTTGGAAGCTGGAGAAGTCATGGGTTAGGACGAGTGTGGCTCCGGAGACCACATCACGTCATCGCTTCCTTCCAAAGGTGAGCAAATGGGCTGGGGCTGTTCAGTAGCTTCCTCACCATCTCCTCCCACCCCACCCACTGATCACATTTGCGCACCAACCTGAGGGGCTCAGAGTACAGATATTGGAGGTAATGTGCTCCAGGCACGGTGGTTTCATTTGATATCATTTGTCACTTACAGGTGAATATGTGTTTTCATGAGAAATTTAATCTTTCTGGTCAAATTTAGAAAAAGAAATCTATTCTCACTCATTAAACCTTGAATTTTTCAAACCTCATATTTTTCCCCTCGTGAGTTAGATTTGCCTAACACCTAACTATGATGCCCAGTCCTTGTAAAAACGATACTGAATTCACTTAAGGACATACAGGATGCAGGTAATGAACATATACATATCAGCAAAAGCTGGGCCATGATTGCATTAGGGTCACCTGACCTTACCTATCGCATATGTGCAACCCATCTGAAATCCCTGTCTGGGCGCTTCTTTGGTTTTCGTTGCAGAATCCCACTGAACCCAACACTAAATTAACATTTCTGGCCAGGGGAGGTGCTGGTGAATTTAGACACAGGGAGAACACGCCGGCAGAGCACCAGCTACTGCGCATACTCACGGGAGGGCCCAGGGCGCCTTGCGGTCCCACGCTGCCCGTGACCCCGGGGACTCCCGGCGCTCCGGGGATGCCCTGAGAGAGGCAGGAAAGGGAACACAGTGAGACCCACACACTCTCATCTCCACAGCCCACAAGTGAGAGTCCCAGACGCACCCAGGGACGGCCTCCTCCTCCTCGACACCACCACGTCAAGGTTCATTGCTTGTTTGGCTCCCAACTACCAAAAATGAGGCTTTTTAAAAAGTCTCCATACTCTTGTTCAGATACGGTTCTTCTACATGCAACCTGTGTCCAAATTCAGGGCAGGTGGCCACGTGGCTCAGAGAATAAGCAAGCCACGGGCTCAGCTGAGTTTTAAAGGCCTCCCGAGGATGAGTCTGGAGCTGGAGCTGAGGGAGGAGTTGGTCCTCCTTAGCCAAGGTGGCTGCAGAGGGGAAGGTGTAGCTGAAGAAAATCTCGCAAAAGAAACGAACTGCTCTAACGCAGGGTCCCCCCTGCCCCGAGTTTCTGGAAATAACTCACAATTGGCCCTGGGGGTCCTGGTGGGCCGGAGGAACCGTCCTTTCCGGGAAACCCCTGGGGACAAGAAACACTGTGTCAACCAAGTGGTCCTTCCCATGGCTTTCAGAACAGGCTTGACTAATTCCTGTCACTACTTGGGAGGCAAGTCTTGCTGCTTGCTCTGGACTGCCAAGGATTCACTGCTTTCAGACTCTTCATGGAAATTGTTCTTGGCAAGACCTTTGTGTCTGTTGGCTCCAATTAAATTGTCCAGTGCAAGAATTTTAGGTGTAAGAAATGCCACTTACAAACACAAACAGGAATTTGTTCCCAGAAAGTGTTCTTATTAAACCAAGCACAACACATGAGAAAGAGGACCGAGTCTTGTTAATTAATGACCAGGCAAAAAGAGGCATTAGGGTCTTTCCTGACACTGCAGGCATCTTGGGCAAGGAACGCTGTCACAGGGATCTCTAGGGTCTGTAGGGGAACCGGAATGCCTGAAACCCTGCAAGTCTTCGGACAGCCTGAGGAGAACATAGGTTGAGGGGCAGCTTCCTGCAGCAGAGGCAGCCCCATCCCTGGTGGGTTGCTGCATATCTGCCACCAGGTGTTCACACATGGGGACATGCCTGCTTCCCATGCCGTATTAGAGAGCTTGAAAGCAGAAAACAAATGGTGCTTTTTAAAATGAACATATTCCTAAGTCACTCTGTGTTTTGTGTGTGTGTGTGTGTGTGTGTGCGCGTGCGCGTGTGTAGCGGTGTTATTCTTGAGCATTAAAATATATAACAGCTGGAACAACTTCCTCTTAAATGGTCATAGTTTCAATTGTGAATGCTGGGCTTTCCAGTGGAGCTGACATAATGGCACATCTTCAATCTTGAGTTTTACAGCAGGTCCATAACATTTTGTTCACAAGAGTCCCCTCCTGCTACAGGGACAGACAGACCTGTCACCGTGGGACCTGTCCTCCACTGGACTCATGTTTCCAACTCAAACTGACTCAGACCTACCTCTCCCTGCCTCCTCGCTGCCCCTTACCTTATGCATGAAACTCTGTCTTCTCGGGACCCTTCCACATCCTCATCCTGTCCCCCCACAAAGTGTCAGATGCACACAGGGAGAGCGAGGCAGGAAACAGTTCGTGGGGCAGCATGTTGTGTCAGCAAGGCCCTGCCCTGGCGCCCTCGGCTCCTGGATGTTAGTAACCCTCACCGAAGAGCGGCCAAGAGGCTGGGGTCCTCCTCGGTCTAGTTTTGCTTTCTGGCCTGGACCTGTGGCTTGGCCACGTTCTCCTGCCTCCTCACAGTTAGCTCGGAGCCACCAGCTCAGGGTCCAGCCAGCCAGAAGAGAGCAGTCCCAGTGCTGGCTCCCAGCCATTGCCTGGGTGCAGTTTTCCATTTCCTTTTCCCCTCTCAAAGCAACTTAGGACACCACATGTGGAGATAAGAGTTCCCAGACAGACAGACCACGACAGATAGACAGACCGAATCCCAGCGACACTGGGGGCCCAGCCCAGCCCTCCCACCACCCACCTCCCTGCTGGCAGCACTGGGTTGGGAATGAGCAGTAATTTTGAGAACAGCCAAATAATGAGAAGACACCAGCAGTGTGCTGATGACAGACCGGATTCTGCAGGGTCCCACGCTGAGCTGGAATCAAGCCGGGACACCAAGTTTTCACAGAAAAGCCTGCATCTGAGTCACCTGTTGGTGGCACACACCTGTGATCTTGAACACTCAGGAGGCTGAGGCAGAAAGATTCTAAGTTTGAGCCCAGTCTGGGCAACTTAGCAAGGTCGTGTCTCAACATTAGAAACTACAAAAGGGCGGGCACGTAGCTCAGTGGTAGGGTGCTTGCCTCAACATACAGGGACCTGGGTTCGATTCCTAGGACCAAAGCAGTGGTTGGATCCTGCTGTGGTTTAGGAGGAGACTTAGGTGATGAAGCCTCCTGCTGGGTGGCTGCTGTTGCAGTGGGAATGGGGTTGCATTTGGCCCTCTCTCTCACTCACCCCGTGTCGCCTTCTGTCTTGCTAAGACACAAAGCAACATTCTCCTCCGATGCAGGCCCTCAACCCTGGACTTGGCAGCTTCCAGAACCATGATCCAAGACACTTCCGTTCTTTATAAATGGCTGCGTCTTATGTCTTCTGCTTTAGGTGCACGGAAAGGTCGAGGGCAGGCCCACCGCATTCGCCTCCATCTTCCCGAGCTGTTGCAGCCCCCCAGGGACACCCACCTGGGCAATCAGGTGACTTTTTGTTTGGTTCTCTGGTTCTCATTATGTAGCCCAGGATGGCCTTGAACTTGGGATCCTCCTGTCTCAGCGTCCTGAGTGGAGGGGTTACAGGGCTGCAGGACACCGCCAGGAGGCGACTCTTACAGGGGCAGGCTCGGGCTCTTTACTCACCCCTTCATCCCGGGATGAGCAGCAGTAGCAGAAGCTTTTCATATAGAAGTCACAATTTTGGTGAAAGGAACACTGTGCAAAATGCCTACATTTTATATAAGAAAATAATTGGCAAACTCTAGCTTTGTGACTCAACTTAACTGTGATCAAAATTCACTGAATTTTTTTCAGCCATTAGCAGCTGAACTTGTGTTCGCCTTTCGAACACTTTTCTGTATCTGTGCAATTCCGTTTCACATCAGGGAGCCAATCTGAGATGATGAGCGTTTAGGACTTGGGCAACCTCATAAAAAGCAGAAATCCTTCATTAAGCAACACAGAATGAATATTAGGAAGCAGAAACTTAATGGGAATTCTCTTAAGCCAGCAAGCATATATTTCTGAAATGCACAAAATCAGCCACCCACAAACAGGGATCTCTTACAACACAAACAGCTCCAAGTATTTTTCCTTTTCTATATTCTCACCTCAAAATATTATACACCCACAGCCCACATTAAAAATAATTTTTGCTGTAAAAACTTGAAAGGATTTTTATAGTTTGTTTTTGAAAACATTTGGCTCTGAGCAAATTACTAAGTCATGATTAGCTATGGTTTACCTGCAAAGCAAAATCTAATGTACGATTTACTTTCAAAATCACTACTATTCTAACAAACATTAAATGCACCTATGACTCAATTGGCAAAGCAACGCTTTCTTTAATTAAACACTTATTCCTTTGCATTTGCAGTTTTCTTTTCCATACTCTAGAGTAAATGTACATGCTCTCTTCTCCCCAGCTCTGAAATGGATTTTTGTAAGCTCTTTCAAAGTCTGTAGTCCTCAAGTTCTATGCCTATGGCTTCTAAAGGGTGAATCCCGTCTGCCCACAGCTCCTGTCCTAACTGAGAGGAGTCATCAGCCAGTGCTTGTATGTGACAGGGCTCTCAGAAATGGCACACAGAGCTGGTGATGGCACCTACCAACCACAACTCCTCTGAGCGCAGTGGTGGGGTGTGGGGCCGACCCTAAGGTCCTTAGCCCCTGGTACCCAATGCATTGGTCAAAAGGAGCCAGATTCCAGGAGTGAGGGCCATGGAAACACTTGCAGGGCCTGGACGCACAGCTTGAGCCCTGTGGCATGACGGAACCACTCGAGCTGATGGTCATCAGAGACAAGGCTGCCCGTGCAGCCCGGGGTTGGGATGGACCGAGCAGCAAGGGCCACAGCCTCAGCAGAGGGTCAACCCAGGGCTGCAAGAGCAGTCCCCCTTGTGACAGCCTGCCTGGCCTCAGTGGGGAAGTTTCAGGGACACATAGGTGCATGCAGTAGACATGTATGTGTAGTGTGTGTGTACTGCCATGAATACACACACATTCTATGTTAATATGCACATATGTATATATAATCAAGATGGATGTATACATTTAATTATGTGTTTTAGTAACCTGCAGTGATGAGTGCATACAATTAAAGCAGAAACACCCCGAATATTCTACAAAGAAATCACTTTGGTGTGCAACGGACCTTCCACAATAGACTATCTGGTTTTTCTGAAATCCAACTGGTTATCAGACCCATCGGGCTTTTTAAAACTGTGCAGTCCTGAGTTCCACCTGAGATCTTCACCATCTGGGTCTCCGAGAGTGGGGCCCAGGAATGTGTTTGTTAAACAAAAGAAAACACAGAGCAACCTGATGATGTAGGTGGTGGAACTGCAGCTTCACAAACACAGAAACTCTGTATCTGGCCCGACAATGGCATTTCCACCATGTCTGCGCCCCTGTGAAGTTACTGGAAAGTTAACAAGGACACGAAACTAAATACCAGAGTGGCCATGCTCAGTTGTGAACAGGCAAAGAGGTAAAGTGATCAAAGCATCACATTTTCACGGGTGAAGTTTCAATTCTAACTTCATCAAGAAAGTAACCCAAGCTGGGTTCCCACTGCCCCCAAATGCAGGCAAGGCATCTCCAGGGTTGGAATTCTACTTATTAAACCTCTCTTTGGGGAAGATTCCCTCAGTCACCAAATCCCACAGTGACCTTTAGCAGCACAATTTCACGGGAAGAAAAGGGGACTTTGGGGCCAGGGAGGTGCACAGAACCTGGCTCAGGCTCCTTCTCCTCCTGCTGTGAGGCCCTTCACCTTTCTCAGCTTCAGCTTCCAGGTCTGTGAAATGGGAACAAGAGCACCCGGCTTTCGTGGTCATCCCGAGGATTAGGGACTATGGTGTTGTAGAGCACCTGCAGGTGCTCAATAATTACAGAACTGGTGGCTGCTGTTTTATTAAAATAACCTGCCAAGTCCTGACTGTATGGCACTGACATCCTGGGCTCGCTGTGCAAATGTTTTCCTGGGGTTGAATGAAAACCCATCTAGACCCACAGAGAAGAAAATCGAGGCGTTCTCTGCACTGGCTTTGTGATGGCATCTCACGTTGCCCTTTCTGAAGGAGGAAGATGCTTGGGGGATCATTACTGCCCCAGTAGGATCGCACAAAGTACTCTGACTGGAGTCTCTCATCGCTGCCTAACATGGAGGGGGAACAGAAGCCGAAGAGTTCTCAAGTGGGCTCAAGTTCTCAAGCACTTGGAGCACAACTCGCTTCTGCTGAAATGAGACCTTCAGGACAAAGCAGGCTTTGTGTTCCTCAAACCCACATAATTAGCCAGCATGTTTCAAGTATCATTTCAGGGTGGAATCCAAAAAATGTTTTAAAAACCCAAACTTGCTTTTTTCTTTAGACTTCTTTTGTTTGCAGTCATCTGAGGCATCTTAATGTATCAAGGGTAGGAGTTATGAAATGTCCTTACTCATTCAGTGAATGCTAAGATTAGTAGCTAAACTTGCATTTCTTTAGAAATTAGAAATGCTTTACATGAATTAATCTGCAAGCAGCCTTATGGAGTTGTGCGATTTTTTTTTTCTGCTTCACAGCCAAGGAAATTGAGTCTGGGAAACAGGCAGGTGCCAGCCAGGTGCTGGGTGGCCAGGCTTTAACCCCGGGTCTAGCCAGCCACAAAATCCAGGGTGGGCCCCGAGGGCCGTGCTGGTCCTCAGCAACCTCACACAGGAGTTCACACAGGATTCATTGGCACAGCAAGTTCTGTCGGTTTCCACTTTTACAGAGGAGGCAGGAAGGCTGTGCTTATGGCATGGGGGTACAGGGGTGCCAACTGGGGTCAAATGAAGCACCCAAATTCAGGTGCCTAAAGCTTAAAACTTGAAATTTAGAGACCGACACTCTCTGGAGGGTGGAGGAATTATTACATTCCAGCTGCTGTAAAAATGTATCTCATTGTCATTTTTATGTTTATTTCTTTCTGAATTTTTATAAAACCATATTGAGAAAATGGAAAATGGAAAATAGAATAATTTTAAAGTTTCTATTTGCAGTGCTAGACAGAAAACTAGCAATCTGACAGTAAGTGGGTCTCAGAACTAGAAAAGAAGTTGGTTTTTCTTTTTTTGTTCTTTTTCCCTCTCATTCTTTCTCTGACTCCATAGCTATCTACCTGCCTATCTATCTATCTATTTGTCCTCTACCTATCACCTATCATGTATCTGCCATCTGTCTACCCTCTATCAATCACCTTCTTGTCTTCTATCTGTCCATCCACCCATCCGTCCATCCACCTGTCTGCCCATGGCACATGCGTGTCTTGCCCCTCCTTTCTGGCTTCCCTGAGGACTGCCTGCGTGTCCTGGGTGAGAGCTATGAAATGTACCGGACAGCAGAGGAGCTCAGAGAACACAGGGTGAGCCCTGAGCTCACCAAGAACAGGGAAAGGAGGCAGGATTTACAGTACAAAGATGAGTGCAGCACGCTCTGAGCCGGAAAGGCTAGGGTGGAAACTGGGTGCCTGACTGCATCAGCTGCTGAAGGTGAGCTTGCACCGCTGCCCGGTCAGTGCCTGCACTGTGCTCTGGGCCCCCAGCCGGGCAGAAACTCGCTCAGTGGAGAAGTGCAGCTTGTGCTGGACCTGCTCGCAGCCTCAGCCCAGCGCAGGCTAAGAGCTGCCTCCAGGCAGCCAACGCTCCCCTTGGTCAAAGCCAGAATAAGCTCGGAGCATGAGGGGAGCAGATGTTTCATCTTCTTTCTTCGTTATTGGGGCAACCTTCCCGCCTCCCGGCAAACTCAGGGGTGACACTGGCCTTTCCCGAGATGACAGGTCAAGGTGACAGTGCCAGGTCCGGGCTGTGAGCTCTCGCTGTCGGTGACAGAGAGGACCTGCAGTAAGGGGTGGCCAGCAGCCAGAGCTCGCCTCACAGGCCATGCTCAGACTCCAGGGAGCTGGGAGCACGGCTAGGACGTGGACTCAAGTCCTAACTGCAGGCCCTGCTTCCTTTCCTAGTGGAGGACTCACTCCCTCCGTACTGGGAGAATTGAGAGCACAGGACCACCAAGTGGTCAGGTGCTGAGACCGAAGGAACCGAACAGCTTTGCCCTCCTGGGTCCCTGACAGAGCAGCCTAGCTGGGAACGTTCCGGAAGGGCAGGACGGGTAGGCTGGTGAGAGTCACCCAGTGGGGAGCAGTCTGGTGTGGCTTCCTTCGCGTGGCGTGGGACTGGGGCTTTGGGGCTTGTGTCTGGTCCCTGTCATTTCTCAGGCACTGTTCCCTGCTGTGCTTCCCAGCTGCTACGGACTAAGCAGCTTTGTTCGCCCTGCCCTTCCGCCATGATGGTCCTGCCTTGCAGCCAGCCAGCTGCTGACTGAATCACCTGAAATTGTGGGCCAAATTAACCCTCCCCTCCCTTAAGCTCTGGGTGTCAAGTATTTTGTCCCCTTTCACCGTCCTCAGCAGTAAATCCCGTCCTTCCCTCTCTCAGTCTGTTATACACCACGGTGGTTGTGGTGCCTCCGGGCCTATGGCCAAACAGGGATAATCGCAAGGTATTTCGTCCTTAGTACTCTGTGGGCAGCCACTCCTGTCCCGCTGTCTGACCAGAGAGACCCGGGCCTCCACAGGCTGAGCCTTCCGGACTGGATCTCCTAAACCTGTCTGTGCCCCTCAAGTAGGTTCTGGGCCTCCCGGTTTACTGCCCTGCTAAGTCACTATCTAATTGTTTCAGAACTTTACTATCCTTAAGCCCTCAGATCATCCAACTAAACAATCCTGTTTTCACCACCCTTCCCTCCTTTGTTCCTTCGGTCTTCTCAGAAGAGTCATTTGCCTTCCGGGCCCAGGGCAGCAGTTGTATTCTGGAACCTGCCTCATCTTCCCATCCCCTCAAGGTAGGTGGTTTAGAAATTGCTTCCTTTAACAAGAATTATCTATTGCCTCTTCCGGTTTCTGCTCTGCAGACAGGAATGGGCAACTCTTTCCACTGCATGTAGGAAATGGCACAAAGTATGCGCTCAGCTAACATAGAGCTGACTGAAAACAATCGACAGGTCCTGCCCTCCAGTAGAGTGCCTGTGTCACACGCTTCTAGGGGTGCCATTGCTTTTGTGTGAGTGGCATGCCCTTGAGCTACACACTGGCATGGCGCTGCCCCCAAATATCTTTCCTAAAATGTTATCCTGGGATTCACCCTACTTCTTAAAAAAATATGGCTCCATAACGAAAGAGGTTCCACTGAAAACCAGATGGAAAAGCAATTCCTTTTCTATCCAAGAAGCTTTCAAACAGGAATTAGACACACCCTCAGTTTTACTCCCACATAGACATTTTATGCTATCATAAGATAGTTTATAATGTCTTGTCAGATATCCAAGTATAGATTGCTTATCATTTTATGTAAGACTTTGGATTCTATAGAAGAACACAACATGTTTGGAACAACAGCAAAATATTTATAAAAAGTCCCTGTTGACATATTGATTTTAAAAGAAAGAATTCCAGAGTCAAACGACTCAAGTGCTAAGCCAGCATGTTTCATCTGGGAGTTCTTTTAAAGCCTGGACTTTATGCACAGATAAATCAAATAAACTCACTCGACCAAATCTTTCAACTTGCCTTTTTCCGAGCTTCAGGAACCATGAAGGAATCTAGGTGTGTAACCACAAAGGATCTTAGCCTGAGGCCTCTGCCAAGACACATAAATACTTGTAGACAGACACCCTTCCACGCGTGCAAGAGCCCACATGTGCCTAACTTTCACAGAAGGCCTCTCTAGGCACGGTCACTGAAGCATGCTTTACAGACCACTTCTGTTGGATGGACAGACTGCGCTTTCTTCTTAGGCAAATGAAAGTTGGATGTTAAACAAAAAGGAGGTGGGACTTAATGTTCCCCACACCTGCACTTCCACAGAGTACACAACGCCCACGTTCTTGAGTGGTTCAGTGTGTGTCGGACTGAGTTTTCCAGCCAGTTGTTTGCTCACCTGGTGAACAGATGCACTAACATTTCAATGCATATGATTGTTGACTTCCTTTAGGTTTGTGCCTAAGAGTTTGAAAGAACTGGAAAAAACTGCTAAACCAGTGTGTGCAATTCAGCGCAAACTATATTCAGGTTTAGAAGCATTCAGGAAGGGGTGTTGCTGATTTGGAAAAGTTTGATAAATAATGGACATATTCTTTAATGCTGGGGGGGTAATGGACATGGAAGACCTTCTTGACTGCAAAGAGATGCAGCATGGGCAGAATGGAGATTGGCAGAGCAAGACATAGAACAAATGTTGGCTCCACTTCCTCACAGAGAGTCTGCAGCAGCAGAGTGGCTGGAGAGAGGCGCACTTGGCTGAGAACCAAGCTCAGCAAGTTCTTACCCGTTGGCCGGGGGAGCCATCTCGTCCTGGTGAGCCCACGCCTCCTGGGACTCCCTGGGCAGAAGAGGCAGAGAAGACAGTCACACACCTATGCGTGTGCAGGGGTGCCCCGGGTCGGGACTTAGACCTGAGAGTGACACATGAGAAGGACTACAGTGGACCCCTGACTTACGAACTCAGTCTGTTCCCGAGGGCTGGTTGTAACTCAAGTTGGTCAGTGAAGGCTCAGGCTCCTACATAGCCTTCAGAGTCTCTCTCCTGTACACAGGCAGAGCTCAGTGTCCTTAGAGAAACCCTGGCCCAGGATCTTTCGGTTAGCCCCACACGGGAAAGGATGCTGTCATGCTCCTTCCAGGACTCTTTAAGGGTTAAATCTGTGTCTGTGGCCATTGGAAGCACAAGCTGCCAGCATTCGCGTCATAATTCAAGACTTTGTTCATAAGTTAAAACTAGAATTCTGGTCAAAACACAAGTTATTCGTATGTCAGACGGGTCGTAACTCAAGGGTCCACTGTATTTCCTGTGCAGGTGAACTGGGACATTCAGCGTGGCTCTCAGGAAGGGTGTAAGGTAGATAAACACAAGCAATGCCAAGGCCACAGCCGACTGCAGAAGCTCCGCCCTCTGTCCTTGGCCGAGCTCAAGAGAGCTGTCAGCAATCAATAAAAAATACAAAACCAGTACCTGTGGCCCTGGAAGGCCGGTATCTCCTTTCTCTCCTTTCTCGCCCGGCATTCCCTGAATATCCAAAAGCACAGAGTCAAGTTCACACGAGCAAAGACTTGGTCCTTCCTCCTCTGACTGTTAGAATATCCTCAACCCTAAGCTGCTTTCACATGATCATCTGAACAGTGCGCTTCACTTCTCATGTGCACTACACCTGCTCTGTAAACACCCCCAGGGGACTGAACATTGGTAAAATGCAACGGTTTCAACACCGAATATACGTTCCCGTGTGGCCGAGCAGACTTGCACATGTGTGGAGGGGACAGGTGAATGGTTCAACAGTATTTGTAGTTTAAATTTTAAAATATCCTATCTATATACAGTAGATTTGCTTTGATTTGGTTTTGGTTAGAAAAACACAAGGATAAAACGTAAGCAGATAGTAAGTAAATACTATCCTAGCAGATAGTAAGGCAACAACAAAAATTTGTTATTAATAGCAGTAGCTACACAAATTAACGTGTTAATGGTTTCTAAAATGCGAAAAACTTTTATAAGGAAAAATGTATCGACAAGGGAAATGCAAAGACCGCTAAAAAGTAAGCTTTCGAGGATCTGGCTACTTCAAGTATTAATTAGAGATTGGTTCTCTAACTCTAGATCTCTATTAATGAAGATGAGTAAATGGAATCAAATTCATTTTTAATGACACAAAACAGCTTTTCAAAGACACCTGGGTGTGTAACATATACCAGGTAAAATCTAAGGCCCACTCAGTGGACTGCACTCTGAGGTTGCTGAGCCAAGAACCATAAATCAACAGCCTTCATTAATCTTCAGCCACCATTACGACAAATCAATAATGAACAATTAAATTCATGTAACATTTACTACTTTCCAGTTGTTACTACATCCACTGAGAATTTGGGCACACAAGACCAGGGCTCTGAGTGTGAAGCCCTGCTTTCTTTCTGTAGGAAGAATTCCTGGGGTGCGCCCACCCGCTGCACGGGTGCCTGTCTGTTGTAAAAGCCCCATCTTTGGGCAAAAGCGGACCTCGGGACAGCTATTGAGCAGACTTCCCTCCAGGCCTCGCCTTCAAAGGGATGGAGCTCATGACTAGGACACAGCAGACTGACGTGAAGAGTCATAACAAAGTATCACATCCGAGCATGTGGGGCGCTCACCGGCATTCCCTGAATGGACAGACCACTCGGTCCTTGGGGACCTGGAGGCCCCTGCGGTCCTGCAGGGCCTGATTCACCCCGAGGGCCCTCTGGTCCCTGGAAGACAAGAGAGAAAGGTCATCATGGAATAGACCCCCTGACCCTAAGGGATATCTCTGCTTATGGCACTTAGAATTTATCCACTTACAGAATCTTTCCTAAGACACGAAACATTGGGGACAACCGGACACCAAACCTCCAGTGACTCACCTCCAGGCTGAGCATCATCAGAGAGCCAGGACCATAAGCACATGGAATTCTGCAGCTTATGTTTGATTTCTGCTTCCATAAATAGAATGCTGGGCCAATTATGTAAGAAAGCAGACTGGATACCCCAGAGGAAGGGCTGGAAGACCACCCTCCCCGGCTGTGAAGTCTCCACCCCTCCTGCCCAGCACCCTGCCCTGGACCTTGGTATCCAGCTCCTTTCCTTCCAAGCCTTCGTCCCGCCATCTCTACCTCCTCAGTGCCCTCCAAATGACCCTGGGATCTTTATTATTGGATTTCCTTTCTTTTTGAGATCAGACGTCCCTTTCACTATGTAAACTGACTTCTACATTTAGGCCTTGTCATAGTTTCATGAAACCACACCACCTCTGCAGTCTTAGACCCAGAAGAATCTATCTATTGCCAATGTCTTCTTCTCCCCTGTCTCATTCTATGATTCCAACGAACACTATTCCTTTGTTACACTGGGATTCTGACACTTGGATATCACCTTTATTTTAAATTGACACATTAAAACTACATATTCATGGGGTTCTATGTGATATTTTGATGCATGCATAATTATGTAATGTTCAAATCAAGATAAGCATATCTGTCTCCTCAAGCATTCAACATCTTTGTGCTAAAGACATTCAAAATCTTTTCTTCTAGCTGCTCTGAAATATACAGTGGTTGTTGTTATAGTCACCATACTTCTCAATAGGACATCAGCAAGGACCGCGCAGTGTAAGGGGAACCTTCCCTACCTCTTCCCAGCCTCTGGGAACCACTAATTGACTCTCGACTTCCAGGGGTGCAACTTGTTTTTAGATTCCATATAGGGATGAAATCATGTGGGTTTTGTCTTTCTATGCCTGACTTATTTCACTTAGCATAATGACCCTCAGTTCCATCTACATGTCACAAATGAAAGACTTCGTCTGTTTTATGACTGAATCGTACTCCTTAGAGTACATGTACCATGTTTTCTTTGTCCATTCACCAGTGGATGGACACTTAGGGTTTCCATTTCACGGCTCCTATGACTAACCCTGCAGTGAACATGGGTACAGATGTCTCTGTAACTTAGACCTTCGCTTCCTTGGGATGGATAACGTGGATAGCATCTGAAATGTGAGACTGGTGTATCCGTTACTTGGGGCGAAAGACATGGAAGAAAAGTAAGATGGGACAAAGTACATAAAAATACTGAGTGTGGGCTAAGTTTTCTTAGGGTCAACCACAGGCACCCAGCTAACAGTCAGGGCGTCGGGTGGGATCTGAGCGGGTGGATTTTGGGGTGCTGAAGACATGTCCTCGAGCGAGGATGTGTCGCTGGAGTGAAGGGAAAAGTTGACAAAAACCCAATGAAAATCAGGTAGAATGGAGAGGGAGAGAAAGCTGGGAATGAATCCAAAATGAAAACCCTAAACACTGTGAGGAGACTGAAGACGAAGTGGAGCAGCATAGTGCAGAGGAGGAAAACACTTCAAACAGAGGCAGAACCACCTTGCAGATTCACCCACTCACAACACTGACACTTATTTCTAACCCAGAAATCTTGCTTTCTCTCAGTTACGAATATTCTTTTTGATTCAAAAACACAAATCTTTCAAAATAAGGAAAAGGGCTAGACAGGAGTTTCATAAAAATTCAGGAGCTTCTGATTATAAGGGTAATGAAGTACTGAGAAAGAGAGACAGAGAGGGGGAGAGAGAGAGAGAGAGAGAGAGAGAGAGAGAGAGAGCTACCTTTAGACCCTGTTCACCTTGTTGGCCCTTCGGTCCACGGAGTCCCGGACCACCCTGGGAAACAGACGTTAAACATTAGCGCAAACACAAATCACAGAACAGTACATTTCACTCATTTGTCTTAACGCCATGGGATTATGTCATATTATTTTACATAAAACCCACACATTGTGTGCTGGTAGACCTTCATAATGATCCCTACCTGGAAATCTGCCACCTAGCTCCAACCCTCCCCAGAGATGATTTCATAGCTGGAGAAAACTTTCTATGCCAAATCCTCTTAAATTTTGAAAAATGAGAGGATTTACTCATTTACTGCTTATATTAGATGAATGTTACCCATAGGTAAAAAGATTAATAGATATTATTGGCCTGAAGTGATATGCTTTATACCAGAACTTTGAGGTTAAGTTCTTCAATTAAAGTTTTAAAGCCCATGAAAATAACAATTTAATTTTATTTACGTAGAAATAGAGATAATTAGACTCGTGTTTCTGAAGCTGCATTTCCCCTCAAGATATCTGAGTTAATGTACCACCTACGTTATTTAATAGAAGTTTTATATACATATGCTATTATTTAATGGTAGTTTTTCTATAGATATATACATACACAATAATAAACATGTGTATATATCCTTTGTGTATATGTTTGCTGTGGGCCTAAACATCTGTCTGTATCTTAATTGACTACTACAATTAAGTAAATCTATTTTAAGAAGCAAACATGGTAGCATTACAGTAAATAGAAAACGTATTGCTTGATAAAAATATGAGTTGAAGGGCTGGGGATTTAGCTCAGTGGTTTTGCCGCCTGCTGTGCAAGCGCAAGGACCCAAGTTCGATCCCCGGTACCAGAAAAAAAAAAATGAGGTCACCTTAAAAGTTAATGTGAATGAAATGATGTTATTAAATTTCAGCAGATTTTGCTCCCATTGAGGTCTGGGAGCCATTTGTTCTTTGATGGCAGAGGAAGTGACAAGTGTCAGGAGGCCATGTGCCTCCAACAGACTCTGTCCCTTGAGCAGAAGGGAAAGATTCTTGACAGTGGGGTCGTGTTCTTCCTGTGCCGTGCCTGTTTATTTCCTGTGGGGTCCAGATGACCAACCATGACTCTGTGCTGCCAGCCAAACACTGTGCCACTTGGGAAAGCCTCTCTGCTTTCCCAACTACTGAAATTCACTCCCCACCAAGTTAGTGGCTCCTCTTTCAGATTTTTTTGTTCTTTTCTTAAAAATTTTTAAAATACATTTTTATTAGTGCACATTAATTTTATAAAGTATCAGGTTCCATTGTGGCAATTTCTTACGCACCTGTAACATACAAAGTTGCATCCGTGTATGTACGTGGTCATCTACAGAAAGCACTGCCTATGGTATTACTTTGGTATCATTTGATGTGTGATTAAATACGTGACGTATTTACTGCTTTACCGAAGTCTGAATGTTTTAACTTAATGTTCTAGAGCTTTTTTTGCATGTTGATACATAAAGTGTAACTCATTAACTGTTGCATAACTGGCCAAACCTTAGACATGTGATGGTTTATTTAAACAGTCTTCTATTATTTAAATCTTTGGTGGGTTTTTTGCCCTTGCGTAATATTTTCCTGATTAAACAATGTTTCCGTTAACAGCCTCATGTATCCCTTAAGCAAAAATGTTAGTGTGTCTCAGATACCAAGAAGAAAAATTATAAGCAAACCCTGATGGACATGCAGATACATTATTGACTGATACTCTGACACAGTGGTGCCAGTTTGTACATCTGCCAATAGTTGAAGAGTGCTCCTGTTTCCCTAATTAATCGACACTGGATATTAGCAATCTTTGCATTTTTGTTAGCTTCCTTGGTGAAAAATAATACCTATTCTTAATTTATTTTTCACTTTTCTGAAAACTGCATGGTGGAGTATCTTTTTATAATTGTTTTCCATTTTCATTTTATCATCGTTGTGGTTACCATTTATACACTTTACCCAGGTTTTCTTGGTTCACATGTATTTTGTCTTTAATATATGGACATTCTGCATATATCTGAATGCTGCAGCTTTAAGGATTGCATACGATGTGTACCTATGTGGCTGCACATATATCAATGCACACGTAAGCTATACTGATGTTACAGGTTATAAATGTGACAAACATTGTGCTCAGTGTCACGTGCTATTGGCTGGTTACCTGAGACCCTTTCCTGACCCTCTTCCCCGTCTGTGCTCGCTACTGTAGAGATTAGCATGGATATCTGCTTTCCCAGCTTTTCTTTGCACTGAGCACAGTCATGTTCACCAATTCAGGCCAATGTGATCAAGAAGCAGCCATCCAAGGAGACCAGGGCGGAGGCCATGAGCTGCCCAGGTCCTGGAGGAAGCTGCTGAGGAGCTGCCTTTGCCCAGCCCTCACTTCCAGGCCTGTCAAACAAGCGAGGTGAGCCTCCTTGTCCTTGTCATTGACACCACTGTTCCAGTCAGGTGCTTGGGTTCTTGCAGCCTAATGCTTGCCCCTGAAGACACACGCGTATCACAGCTCTTTCTTTGTGCATCTTAAGCAGCTGATTTGAACTGAAGGTTTCATCAAAATAAGATTGTCTCACAGATATTCATCCCAGAAGCACCATTTCTTAAAACCAAGGACCATTTTATGCTCCTAATTTATTTTCCACCTTACCCCTAATGCTACTCCCTGAGCACATGACAAGAACTCACAAATACAAATTCATCTGATCAGTAGAACAGAAACAGCCCCAGGGACATTCATGGATATAATCTTAGACAAAGAGGCTGGAAACACACTGGAGGCAAGACAGCCTCAAAGAGATGGTGCTGGGAAATCGGATCTCCACATGCAGAAGGGTGAGTCTAGACCCACATCTCACCATGTGCTAAACCAAAATCAAAATGGATCAAAGATCTAAATGCTAAAACAAAAACACTTAATTTGCTGGCAGATAAAACAGGTACAACTCCTGAAGACATAGGTGTAGGCAAGGACTTTCTGAACAGAACCCCAATGGCACAAGAAATGATACCAAAGACAGGAGATTTAGCTCAGTGGTTCCACCATCTGCCTCACAAATGCAAGGTCCTGAGTTCGATCCCTGGTACCAAAAAAAAAACCCCCAAAAAAGAAATAATTCCAAAAATCAACAAATGGGATCATATCAAATTAAAAATCTTCTGCACAGCAAATGAAACAACCAACAGAGTGAGGAAACAATCTACAGAAAGGGGAAAGAAAATTTTGTCAGCTATCCCATGGACAGAGGACTAACATAAAAAATATATAAAGAATTTTAAAAATTTTAGACCTCCCAAAAATAAAGACCTAATCAAAAAATGGGCAACTGAAATGAACAGACACTTCTCAGAAGAAGAGGTGCAAATGGCCAATAAATACATGAAAAATGCTCGACCTCTCTGGCCATCAAAGAAATGGAAATTAAAACTACACTAAGATTTCATCTTACCCCAGAAAGAATGGCCGTCATCAAAAAGTCTAACAATGGGCTGGGGATTCAGCTCAGTGGTGCCACCACCTGCCTTGTAAGCATAAGGTCCTGAGTTCCATCTCCGGTACCCGCCCCCCCCGCAAAAAAGTCTAATAATAATAAATGTTGCTGAGAATGTGGGGAAAAAGGAACTCTTCTACATTGTTGGGGGGAATGTAAGCTTGTGCAACCACTATTCCTCAAAAAACTAAAACTAGAAATTCCATCTGATCCAACTATACCTCTTCTAGGTATCTTCCCAAAAGAGTTAAAAGCATCATATGACATGGATACATGCACACCCATGTTTATAGCAGCACGATTTATAATAGCTAGATCTTGGAAACAAAATAAATGTCCATCAACAAATGAATGAGTATGGAAAATATGGTATTTATATACAATGGAGCATTACACTCCCATGAAGAAAGATAAGCTTGAGGGAGTAAATAAATACAACATGAGAACATAACCCTAAATTATATTCCTCTTTCCATGTTTGAAATGTTTCATAAAAATTATTTACAATATCACATTAAATACGTGCAAGTTATATTTCAGCAAAGAAACCTAAGGAGATAAAGCAGTCTGTGAGTAACATAGATCAACTCAGTTCTCCCTCCACAATCTACTTGGACAGACACGGCTAAGTATCTGCGGAGTGGAAGCAGTAAGGGTCGCTGAGGTCTGTATGTGGATTTTCTCGGAGGCCACCGGCGGCACATGGGCACCTACGAGGAACAGACTCTCATCGTGGACGAGTACTCTTTGGAGATCCTGAAGAGAACATTGTCCTCATAACTGCTGGTTCCCACTCTGCCATGTTGGAGAGCCTGCAGGTTCTGTCAACCGTAACACTGAATATTCATATGTTTAGGAGCCTAAAGAAACACTTCATGGTGCCAGGCCGGTGCTGGCCAGCCACTAGGCAGCAACAGTCACCGGGGAAGCCTCCTCCCAGGGCTGTGTTCCTTATCCACGCCTCTCCCTGTCTGGCTCTGCTGCGGTGAGGTCTGAACGTCTATCCACTTAGACGTGACGTACACAAACTGTCATGCTTGGTGTATTTATATTTCACGGGTAACAAAAATGCATTTGTCTGTCTCTTGCTCTCCTTCCTCCCTCAGGAAGCTCTGTCAGAGTTTCTGACAGTAGAACCTTCATGCCCATGCCAACCCCTCCCACGACACACCACACACGCAGAGGTAGGGTCTGCACATCTCACAGGTACAGTTGAGGCCCGGCAATTGAAATGTCACACAGAAGCGAAGCCACAGCTACCTACAGGAAGGTTGTAGCCTACAGCACTGTGCGAGAAAGGATGCCAAAGTGTGAGGAGCAGCACAGAGACTTGAATTTGAAGCTCAGTGTCTTCAAGTTGTGTCCTTTAACAAGTTACTTAACATCTCTGGCCTCAGGGTGCTTGTAGGTTAAGGGGTAACAGCCATGTAGTACACTTGTCAGCACATGTTCCATGCACAAGTGAGTGCTGTTGATTTTTCTTTCTTTCGTTTTATTTTTTTGAGACAGGATCTCGCTATGTAGTTCAAGCTGGCCTCAAATTCACTATGGAGCCCAGGCTGGCCTCGAGCTCACAGCAATCCTGCTGGGATTGCGGGCATGCACCATCATGCCGGCTCCTGACGTCATTAAAGGACATGAGGGCTGAGGAAGGAGGACTTACCGGTGGGCCCACTGGTCCCAGGGCCACTTCGTTGGTTTGTGAACAGGCGCAGGAATGGGGCACGTTGGGGCAGGCCTGGTCGTCCCTCTAAGGAGGAAAGGACAGTGAGCAGGACAATCTGACAGGTGGCTCTCAGACCCAGAGAAAATGACGTGTGATGTGTTTAAAACCCTTAGGTAAGCATTAGGCTGGAAGGCACTGAGCTTCCACTCCTGCTGCATGGGTCCCTGGGAGCGCTGACAGCCATCACGTGGGCCAACTGTGCTAGGGACCGACCTGGGAGGCTGAGGAAGCAAAGATGTTCAGAAGTGCATGTGAAATATTCCCAGCTGCTGTTTAATTACTTTTCAGTCACAGAACTCTCTGAACTAATGGTCTGGAAAACTTGATGCTCCAATCTTTTCTCAGTTTCAAAGAATAAAAGAAAATGTCAATGGAATGCTCAATCAAAACAATCACATGTGTACTGAAACCAACAAAGAAGTAAAACAAAATAAAAGCTGCTTGCATCTATCAACTCCCCATGACAATTCCATCAACTGCTTACATTCTGTGGCTGAAAAATAAGAAAAACAGTGTTGATCTAAAGCTTTGGCATAATGGTCATTTTTTTTCTCAGAGAATTCTGTGGCCATGTGACACTGCAAGACAAACTAATCTGAATCTATCTGGGTGAGTCAGAGACACCCATGTCTTCCTCCTGGGGAATTTGTACATCTCCAGTGTCATGGTTTATATGTAGATGTCCCCCCAAAGCCTCATGCATTCATGGGGGGCTTTTGGGAAATGACTGGGTCATGAGGGTGTGATAGTCATCAGCAGACTGGTCCACCTCACTCCTCCCCTCCTCGCTGCTTCCTGCTACCCTGCCATGGACTGTTTCTCCTCTGCCATGGCACCCTGCCTTGGAGCCAGCAGACTGTGGACTGAAACCTTTACAAACCGTGAGCCAAAATAAATGTGCCCTCTAAGACATCCAGGGATAAAAATGAAAGAAAAAACATGAGAAGGTCTTGGGTCCTTGGAGAGAACTGGTGATTGCATTTCTTCTTGACACAACGTAAGTTCTGAGTATTTCCCCTTCCAATTTCCAACCGACCTGCACTTAAGCATAACATCAAGGTCCCTGATTAAGTCCTTACCAGAATTTATTAACAACTTATTTCGATGGAGAAAGAATAAGTCAACTTTCTTCTCCAAAACAGGCTCTGTGAATGTACTGTCAGCAATGAATGTTGCACTGTGCTGTGTCATCTCACAAACAAAACACTTTAGATGTCGTGAAGGCTGCTCCCCACCTCTTCCAGGTTTAATTCTTAAGACCTGACTTGATCATGTCCAGCCAGGCCACAATCCCTGAACAGCCTAAGAGAGAAACCCATTTTTCTCTTTTATAAATGTAGGCTTACCCCTACATATGAATAATGAGAAAAGTTTCAGTCTTCTAAGAGCATTGCATAGGTTATACAGATTATGGCTACTGTCCCAAAATTATGTGCCAGGAGGCCCTGGGTACCATATTCAATTCAGAGGGACACAGTGAGTGTCTTAAAAATTCAGGGGAACCACAGCAATAGGAGGCCCCCATGGGACGAGGTGTGAACAACCACCTCAACGGTGTGTTTTGAAACACTTTTTGTGATGCTCTATATTTGCAGACCTGGTCGATCAGCAATTGTGTTGATGAAAAGCAAGTACCATGGGAAAAAGCAATATGGAAAAAGAAGTGAGAGAGACGCTTAATCTTGTCCCAAGACAAGAAAAATACTGCACGCCCAATCAGCACACACAATGCATAGTAAATCATCACAGCTATTTAAGAATAAAAGCCAGGTGGTGGTGCACACCTATAAGCCCAGCACTCAGAAGGCTGAGCCAGGAGGATCGCTGTGAGTTTGAGGCCAGCTTGGTCTACACAGTGAGTTTGAGGCCAGGCTGGACTACCTAGTGAGACACTGTCTCAAATAACCAAAAAGTAAAATAAAATTTTCATTTTTTTCTTTAAATCATATGCATCATTTTTAAAAGGACACGGAGTCGTTAGGAAATAAATATTAGGATGTTAGTCAACAGGACCTGAGACATTTTGTAAATAGGACTTCCCACTGGGAGGGCTGCTGTGCAAAAGCCGAGGTCCTATGGCTTCTAGTGAGCATGGATCAACTCTGTGATTGGTCCACACCACCCAGGAGCTGTGTGGACCACGCCAGGTGCGGGCTGCGGGGTGGTCTCGCTGATTTCCTCTCTGTCTCCATCATAACCCCTCCCTGATTTTAATTATCATCACCATGAGTAGTTTCTTATATAAATACTGAGAAATATCTTGCCATCTTCAGAGAAAATCAAATGTAATTTTTAAGAAACTCAGTAGAGCTAAAAGAAGAATCCTTACCAGGCCTGGAAGCTCACAGCATTTGTCTCTACTGGCCCAGGAAGTGGAACAAAGGATATCAAACATCTGCAACTGGAACTAGAGTTCGAAAAGGAAAAGCAGCATTCAGTCGGATGTGATTGTGCTCATAGTTACAATGATTTCGTATTAGACAGTGTTTGATACCGACACATTGGTCATGTGACATTGTGAGCATATTAAAAATAAATCCAACAGTATCACACTAATGTTGTTCCTTAACACACAGAGATCCAAAGTTCTGTTTCTGATTTCTCCAATCACCACCCGACCCCGTACTTAGGACAATTTGCTCTATAGCACCTTCCTGGTAACACCCATTGCAGCTCCTCCCAAACGCCTCTCTAACCTCATGACACTCCATGTGTCTCCTTAACAGCTTACTTCTCATCACACAATGCAGTATTTATGTTATCTCCTACTTAGAACTCTCAGTGGACATCACTGTGTCACCCAGCTAATGTGTGGCACATAATCACCATTCAGAAATGGTACTTGTACACGTGGAGTACTACTATGCTATGAAGAAGGATACCGTTGACTCATGTGTAGGAAAATGGATGCACTTCAGACCATGATGTTAGTGAAATAAGTCAGACACACAGCTTAAACACATGGTTCCTCTTATATGAGAAACCCATAATATAAATAAAGAGCAAAATAAAATATAGATACTAGGAAATAGGGAGATAGAGTATTTAAAATATTATTTTAATTTTACATATACAGCCCTTTCATAATTGATTTTCTTGAGGTACAGTTATATATCTAAAACAGAGGCAAAAGAAGTAGAATAAAAATAAAAGTGACAGTATTGAGGACAGAAATACACCAGTTGTTTTTCTACAATGTTATTATCTATTTAAAATTTTAGCTGAGAAAATTCTTAGCAAATAACAATAGCAACCAACACTTGTTGAAAAATCTACTAAGTGCTAGGTACTAGTCCATTCTGTTGAATAGGACCTGGGATTTTTTTTAAAAACCTTAAATAATCGAACCACATGTTAAAGCTCTGTTCTGGTTGGGATTTGAACAGCCCAAGGAATGTGTGGTTTAAACCACGTGTGGTTTACTTTACAACAAAGGGAACTTTGGTCTAATGTTTAAAATGTGGATCGCCTGGTCTAATGTTACAATGCCATTTCAATGGGTCCCATTATGACAGCACTAGATAATGTCAGCTAAGTCTGCGAAACTTTCATCCATTAAGAATTTTCCATTTCCCCCCCCCAAAAAAAAAAGAATTTTCCATTTCTGAATAAAGCCCTCAGTGTAAAAACATTTTCATGAATGGAGACTTACTTAAACCAAAAGCTTTTCACTACCCCAGTATGCACCAAGCTTTCTTGAAGTTTATCAAATAAACATCAGCCACATAGTCACCTGTAATAGCATAAAGCCTGCACACAAACCGTCAGCTAGCCTTCCACTCTACACTTATCAGGATTCTTCATTCAAGGGCCTGAATGCCTAAGTGCTGGATGAAGCCAAGACTGTCACTCTAGGAATGCTACTCCGTGGGCTGTTTCTTCTTTTGCAAGTTAGATGAAATCAGCAGCTTTTTCTTTGAGTACAAGAAATTTACTCATAATTGTTTTGCACTCAGAACATTTTAGATTCCTTGAGGCACATTTCTGGGGATTGATTTAAAATTAAAATAAAAAACAGTCTGCCTTTCATCCCAAAAGCCCTCACAGACATATTTGTACAAATTATACAGGAACAATATAGAGCTGACATGTTACCTCTTGTATCTGAGTACCTTAAAATATACAGTAACATGGTTTAAAATAAGTCATACTTTCGGCAAACAGTCATGCATCCTTTACCTTTGTGACTTTTTTCTTTTCTCAGTAACTGAAAATTATAAAAGATAAATCTGTACAAAGAAAGAGAGGAGAGAGAGAAAACCTCCTCCTTTCACTTTTTGTAATCTTTCAAGGGAATACTTATTCGATTACAAACGCTTGTTTTTCACTGTTGGACGTTTGTGACTGGGTGTAGCACAAAAGGCAAAGTCATTTGGGGTCAAACGTCAGCATGAAAATAAGATTAAAATATTTCTCAGCCGTTGAGTCATTTGATGAATGAATGAATGGGAGTCAGAATGAGCCCCTGATCCAATCTCACTCAGTGCAATTTGATCCTTTGATTTCTTTCTAGCACAATGAAGCTATCATTTAAAGCCAAGATGCACTTGGATTTTCACCAGTACAGAGCTTCCCAAGGCCCCCAGTGGCCAGAGAAAAGGTGCTGGCGACCTAACCCATCTTTGGCTTTTAATTTGATGCCCAACTTTGGCCAGTTCCACCACAAAACCAAAAAGTACCCAGCATTCAGCACTTTTCAGCTACTGAACCAAGCAGTCGCACTTGCTCTGTTCAAATTATGGAATGTGAGGAAAACCACGAGGGCTCTATACAGCTGGGAAATGAAAATCACTGTTGCCCTTGTTGTTGGAATATTTCAGTGGAGACTCCGTGGGGTGCTTTTGCTGCCCACTTCTTTCCAGGCTGTCACTGAAACACTGGAGGCCTCGGAGCCTGGCAGGGGCAGGCAGGGAGGGTTCTTAGGTTCAGAATCAGTCTGACCCACAGGCAGAAAACGCAGGAACACAAGGCAGGAGAGCCTGTGGAAGTCACAGTTTCTTATCACACGCTTCTCCCTAGCTTCTCTAAGCCCCCGTTTCTGCATCTATAGAATGGGGACAAAATCAGGTCACTTTCTAGGGTTATTGGAAGATTAAATTGATAATCTCAGAAAAGTCCATACTTACTGACCTGGAGTTGGTGTATGATAAATCACAGCAACCATTACCATTCTAAAAGGTTAAAGAAATAATTCATGTGAAAACCCACTATCGCTCTTTGAAAATTATTGAACTCTTGCTTTTATAGGCTCACCAACTAGTCTACAGCTGATTTCTACCCCCAAAAATTTTTTGTCAGATCCTCTTCTTATTGAAATATTCCCTTATGCTGCTTAGCTGCCGGGCACTTCCCAGCATCGCTGTTGGCATTATCTGTGATGTCATGAGGGTGCCAGTTGACCACACTGCGGCCCACAGACCGGGTTCCCCGGCTCCCCCTTAATGGTTCCAGAAAGTTCTCTGGCTAAAGATGGGTGCTGCATTGGTCGGGCAATGTCAACAGTCTCGTCAAACGTGCTATTTTCACTGTGTGGAATGTTCTTCTGCTTCCCCCTGTCTCTTGGGGGCTCCTGGAGGGCATGATGACTGGGCCAGGGCCAGAAGGCACCACCTCCGGCTGGGCCGTCTGCTCGGAGCGGTCAGTGTCACCGCCATCCTCAGGCCCTGCCAGGCACCCGCTGCCTTGGTGATGCGTCACTCTCTTTTTCTGGAGACAGGCCCAGGGGTGGCTCTTGGGGGCCGGGGCGATTTTGTCACAGGAGCACCTCAGGGACACCATTCGGGACGACCTTAGCGTCCTCCCAGGCCAAAAGCCAAAAGCTAAAATTTTAACTAGGTGAATAAAGTTATAGACGGCTGCATCCCATAGCCTATATTTCTCTTTCATTTGAATGGCAGGGGCTAAATAAGGGCCAACGGGATAATCACCTAGGGGCAGACTTGGAAATGGGGAAGAAAGGCCCTGAAGAAACGTCCTGTGTTCTCTGGAGTCATCTCATAGGTATCAGAAAAAGCGGCAGAGACCTCTGAGGAGGAAGAAGACTGAAAAGCGTGGCCCGGCTGCTAGGTTTCTTTCCACGTGCGCTTTGACAGCGAAGCGAGTCTGCTCATGAGTGCAGTCCTGGCAGGGGCTGTGCAGCTGCGAAATCTCACTGCTGAGCATGGATTGTTTTCATTCAGAATTCGAGTAATTTATGTACAGTAGTCACTGTATCCCTAAATCCATTAATCTACCCTCCACTCAACTCTGGTTTAAAGAGAATATGTTTCCTTTAAAGATGGAGTCCTTGGAGGCTCCCGCCATCTGGCATTTCTTGAGTCCTTGCAGGATTTGGCAAGCGATATTGACCAGCGAGCTGCTGCTCTGTCGTGTAGGAGCTGCTCCTCCCGGGAGAGCGGAAGCCTGCATGTTACACTTTCCTTTCTGTAGCTAGAGAAGTGCAGAGGTGTAGTGAGACTGATGCATTTCTAAATGGAGGGCCACGTTCTTCTTTCACCTTGTACTGAAATAGCTGAGCAATAACCCCGCCAAGTAAAACGGAGCCAGTCTGAGTTTCCAATCACATTCTCCAGCTTTAACCTAATGTCATTCATATCAACATAATTCTTTAATAAGTGGGCAACTGAAAATCTGTTTGGTAACCTTTGTGGACTTCTAGAGTCTAACAAATGTTGTGAGTTCTTTCCTTCCAGCCTTACAAAGAAGCCTTTAATCATGGGCCTCTATAAATTCTGCTTTGTCTCCTGCTGGCCAGGAGTCACCACAGAGGGTGACCCACTTAATTACACTTCTTTCATGGTCAAAAGTGAAGATTTATGACCAGAAAACCTGAAACCCATAGGCACTTTTGATTTCAGAAAACAAATCTTTGATATTTCCCTGCTCACATATTTCAAGTATAGTTATTACATACAGTGTCATTTGAACTATTATAAAATCATACTTGTAAAACACAAATCATAATTACAAGAGAGTATGGTATATTTTACCCGAGTGCTGGCCATGCCACATGGGGGGTGTAATATGCACAAAACAAAATATTTTTAAAAGCACATGATATAATTCAAGCAGACAACTTTCTGTTTAATTTCTATTGCGTATTTCTTGAGAGTTTACTCTGTTTGTAGGGATTTGTTCAATATTACTATGTTACGATAAAAGAGGGTGCTTCAAAGGATATCTATCCCATAGTGTCTCTTCTGGGTAGAAGGATAAAATATGGATATATGGAACAGCACATACATATTAATATTTAAGTTTTAAACACATGCTAGTGGTAGAAGAGAAGGTAGAAGAGAAGATGGAAAATGTATTATTGACTTCTTCCAGTAATAATAGCTGCTTGGCTTCGAATGGCTATGAGTCTGGATTTTTATTTGCTTTATTTACTTGCCTTATAATTAAGAAAATTGTAATACTGGAATTTGTGATTTGGTGCTACAATCTCACACACCTAAAATTGTTTCTTTCTTAAGAGTCCATCTTTCCAAGAACCCATCTACATATGCATCATTTATTTATCCAGACAAAATGTCCTCAGTTTGCTAATTGTGTATTCTTATAAAGTCCTACAAGTATCATCCATTAAACAAAAAATTATGTTTATGAATCAGCCTGAATACTACAAAATAAAAGGAGACAATTCCTCAACACCATGCAAACATTCCTAAAGCCCCTTACCATACCTGAAAACAAGAGAGCCTTCCATTGCTTTTATATTCTCTTTCCAAACATCTCATCACCAAAGCACGGTAGAAACAAAAGAACTTTGAAAGATACTCAGTGCTCATGCTAAGCTAATGAGCACACATCTGCCCGCTGAGATCTGAGAGCGATGGGAGGTATCATGGTAGTTCAGTGAAAAGAGATTTGGGGCAACATGAATCAAGTTGTGAAAGTTGTAAAGCTCACAGCTGCATTCACACCAGAAGGGAAGCAGAGGATACACAAGAGAGATGTCACCAAATGGCATACTGTCTCCAAGTGAACCACTCTGCCACACTGCGATTGCTTCCTAGATGTAAAATGAACAGACTGCAACAGAACTGTGCTTCTTGAAGGGACCCTTGTGGGGGGCACTGGCACCTCATGTCCCCTTCCATCAGTCTGTTAGACTCTTATTTATTTATGTGTCACAGTATAAATTTGCATTTGTACAAGGTTATCTTCAGCTTTAAAAGACTTTGTTATTTCTAAAGTTCCACATAGCTGTTAATTCTACAGATCCATGAGAGCGGAGACGATACTAATTCACAGCTGTCTCAATTCTTCTTATGTATAGAAGGCAAATGTATATTATAAGAGTTGGAACGGGTTGTAAGAAAAAAAACCCTTACTAATTATAGATGACTCAAATGAGAGAATGCTGCTAATTGGCTGTGAATGCATTGTGTTAAAACAAAAACCTGTACACACTATTCATTCTTGTGCTGCTGAGGGAAGGGAATGTGATTTCTTTGCCAACTGGAACTGGAAGTCTCCCAGATTTAAATTCCATTTGGTACAATGAAAACTATACTGTCTTGGAATGATTTGTTGTATAAATAACTGTTAATGATTAAAGCGTAAACTTCACATTAGTGATAGCAAGCACCTAGTTCTAAAGTGCCTCAATCTAAAGTAAATAGAGATTTATGTCAATTTTTCATGTGTAATAGTCAAAATTTTGTATGATTTTAATTTTTATATAAATGAGGTTCATTTACAGTTTAATAACAAACCACTTATTCTACAAGCCATGCGATGAACACTGCGCTATTTTAATAATTCTGTAATGCATTTAGAAAATAAAGTAACTTAATTTCTGGAGCATTCTCCTTCTAATAAAGCAGAGGCCTCTTGCCAAGAGCTTGGCATGTAATGTTTTAGTTCATTTAAGAGGTCTTCCATCTGTTTATCCAACCTTCCATCTATCCCTTTACTAAACTTCCCCTCAGGAAAACAGCTAAGTATACTTTCAAGGGATTTCCCCAGAACATACTACAGGTTTTCTTGTGTGTCTACTTACTGGTGCGGAACTTCCATTTGGTCCTCTCGACCGAACCATTCTCCCCAGGACTTCTACTCCGTCCGATGTGATATTAGCTGATACATTTATTGCCTTCTCACCCATTTGCTTGCAGTCAACAACCACTTTGACCAAAGTCTTATTGACGACCACGTGCAGCTGGGGAAAAGTGAAAATGTTTCAGGAGGCAGCAGGCAGGAGGGAATATCAGCCAGGTAAGTTATGAAGGAAGAGAGAAGGGGTTCTGTCAACACACATTGTGCTGAGGAGACAGCAGCATTTCTACTTCTACCACCTCCATGATTCTCCCACATTCAGGTACCATCTCAATTTTTATTTCAGTACACATTTCTTTCCAGTGACTTGGAAGGATTCACTTTTTAAAATCTAGCCTTACTCCAAAGCAAGAATACCTTTGAAATTACAGGGCTGTTGTGTTTATATCTTTTCTGAATGCATCGTAAACTAAGCAAAATATTATCAAAACTTAAAAATGCTTGTGGTTGACCACCAAAGGTCACCTAAGGTAGGGCCAAGCATTATCAAACCACACTTTGAGGGTCCTTACTTCAAGAGGGAGAAAGGAGTGCTCAGAGAGGAAGGGGAGATACATTCTGAGCACTTCAGGCCCTTCGGTTGAATGTAGGGTGTGCTTTTCCCAAACTACAATCTCAAAATCTGGAGGACGCGCTTTTTTTTCAGGAGTCTACACATTCTTTGTGAGGGCTTGGAAAAGCTGTGTTATCATTTTAGGTGATAGTGAATGGTAAGTATATTCTGCATAAACTAGGCAACACATTCTGACTGAATTCTACCATAAAATTTCAGTGCTTTATAAACATTTTGATTCATGGCAGCATTTGTGTGATGAGTACAACTTGTCAGTGGAAGGCTACTGAGCAAAAACAGTGAAATTAATAGACAAATAATGCTTTCACCTCAAGTGAAAGACAAAGAGTCACCACCAACAGCTATCTAAGGGAAGTTATCACCAGGTGTGGTGGCGCACATCTGCAATCCCAGCACCAGGGAGGCTGAGGCAGGAGGATCACGTGGGTTCAAGGCCTGCCTGGACTACATAGCAAGACCCTGTCTCAAGAAGCCAAAAAAAGAGGAAGTTATCATGACAGCGCAGGGCAGGGCAAAACTACTGAGCAACACAAATTAAAGTTATGAGAGGTACAGCAGCTAAGACCACATTCAGATCGTAAGTAGACACTGCTTGTCAGTGAAACAATATCATCTCATATTAAAAGAGTACCACTTTTAAGTTTACTGGTTTTGTCCAAGTTTGTTTTTGTTTCATTGTTACCTATCAGTTGGAAGCACATGGACTTACACAAACTTTTTATTTAAGTTTCATAAAGATAAAAGCAACGTAAGTCGTTTTGGATTTTTTTTTTTTTTTTTCCGTACCGGGGATCGAACTTGGGTCCTTGTGCTTGCTCAGAAGGAGATGGCACCACTGGGCTACATCCCCAGCCTGACAGTGAGGTTCTTGAGAATCTTTTTCCTTCAAGAAAGGGTTACTCATTCCTCAAGTAGGGAACCAGTGTTGGAGGAAATCCACCCCGTCCCTAGCTTCTAATGAACACCTTTCTCCTGGTCCGTAGGAGGACAGAACTTGCCCCTCTGTGCTTTTGAGCCTGGGAATGCGCTTCGTTATTGTATATTACACTAACTTCCTGCTGGGTGCTAGGGAGCCTGGTGCACCGTACCCACACGTGCAGGACTGCTGGTTTGTGAGGAGATTATTCACATGTTGAAAACAACTGCCAGCAACAAGCCTCTTGCTTTATGAAAGGAGGCAGTGCAACAGTTTCAAAAATATTTTGCTTCTTTAGTTGCACTTAAGGATACACATACAATTATTAACTTTTTCAAAGACATTTTGGAGCCACACTTAAAATTCAAAGTATAAAAAATAGAGCCAATTAAACATCAAGGAGAAAGTAAGGAAGTGAAGTATTTATTCACTTATAAATCCATCACCAAATCAAATTTGAACTCTATAAACTGAATTTGAATTAAGATTTTTCATTAGTAAATTTATTATTAAGCAGTCAGTTACATGATAATATGATAAGCCTCTTCTTTCCTTCTTTTCTTTTTCTTTCTCTTTTTTTCTCTGATTGGTTGGCTGTTTGGCTTTAGGAACACTTAAAATGGAAGAAAGTTTTCCTTCATATCACTTTTAAAAGTTCGAAGGCTTATAAGTTTACAACACATTTCATAAATCTTACTTCTAGGTCTTTGGGTTCTGGTAAGGGAAAGATTAACATTCACCTACGACCCATGAAGGATTCTTCGGAATGAGAATTACAAACCCATGCGTGAACCGCAGGCTAAGATGACAATGTGTCTTTTAACACTCACGAAATTGCAAGTTCTTTTCATCTCCCCTACGGTTTTTCCTGTTTTGCAATAAACTGTATAACCAAGGAAAATCACAAGGAACTTGGTTAGTGAATAGTATTAAGTTCAAAGAGCTGCTAGCGGGATCATTTTGAACCATAAACTACTAAGTCTTCACCTATTTCTCATGAGCTCTTCAGATACCTTCACCTTTGGTTGTACAATCCCATGAAAAAATGAGTTTCAATATGCACTATTTCTTCTGTAATTATGTGGTGTGTAATTATGGCATTCAAAACCATAAGTAGCAAAGCTGTATAATTAGCTTGATCTGACCACATTCCCAAGCATGAGACAAAAGCTAAGATGAACCCTACAATGGGATGACTGTTTGCTCTAACAGAACAGAGAGCCTAGGTAGTACTAAATTCTCTGCTGCTCCAGCAGTCGGGATGCTGCACTGCTAAAGCACCCAGAGGCCACCGGGCTCATCACCAAATACGAAGGCAACAGTAGCAGAGAGAAGAAATCACACCCTCTAAGCGGTCACCAGAGCTGTTTCTGAGATCCGAATGTTAAGGAGTTCTATCACAAGTGCCAAGTTATTAAAATAACAGCAAGTAAAGTGTGATTTTAAACAATTTTTTCAGGGTAACTTTTGTTTTGCTTTTTGGGACAAGGTCTTGCTATGTAGTTCAGACTGGCCTCAAACTCACTATGTAGCCCAGGCTGGCCTCAGTGATCCTCCTGCTTCAGCCTCCCAAGTGCTGGGATTACAGGGGTTCACCACGACACCTGGCTCCTGGGTGACTTTTTAAGGTAGGTTGTCTTGTACCTGTGTAAAAACACCAGTGCAATCAGTCAATGCCGCCACCTGCATTGGTGGCCAGGGAGACCAGCGACCCATTCTGCATCACACACAATGACGCGGCAGCCAGCAGTGGTGCGTGCGGCAATCCTGTGCCCCTCCTACACTGTTCCTTCACGCAGACCTGCACCTCGGCTGTCCCTCTCTCTCGGAGCACCTGCTTCATGGTCCCAGCTCAGAACTGCCTAACCACAATCTCCAGGCATTGCTAACAAGCCCTACTAACCTTGTGAAAGCTCCCGTAGAAAATCTTCCTAATTTCAGGTCCTTCAAAAGTGACGGTTTGAAAATCCCCAGTGTGGTCATAGTTGAAATATGTTAGAGTTTTCCCACCATCTATTCAACCAAAAAGAAATTAGAAACAGTAAGATAGGTGAATCATTTTTGCTACAATTCAACTGAAGACTGAGAATAATGCATCCATTGTCTTGAAACTGTTCAGAACAAAGTGATGGGTAATGAAGTAATTAATTACTGGTTCTCAGGCTGCCGCCTGAGGCATTCAGTTGGCCCAGTTACCTGATTTCCCCACAGGTGATGGGGGGCCGGGACATGCAGCCTTCTCCTTTGTACTATCAACCCTACCCATGACAGGGAGGTCCGGCTTTCCCGGAGCATGCAACCTATGCCACCCAGATGAAGCATTCATGGCAACCAACACAAGCCTTTCTGATCTTGATTCCTTCATATTTTTTAAAATAATAATATTTTCCTCGCTGATGCCTTCCTACATGACGATTGAATTTTTCACTCTGCGTTCAAAAGGGACAAGCTAGTCTTCATGATTTTAAGAGACTTGTTTGTTTGTTTGTTTGTTTTGGTACTGGGGATCAAACTCAGAGCTTTGTGCTTTCGGAGCAGGCGGCAGAACCACTGAGCTACATCCCTGCCCGGCCCAGAAATGTTTTGTTTTGAACCCCAGGATACATAAGGATTTAGTGACATACACTTTTAGTCTGCTTTCCCCAAGTTTCAGTATCAGTGCAAAACTGTTACCACGTATTATTTAGTTGTTGATTCTTTTCCATGTACTGAAAATTCCTTTTACACATAATGGTTGTGAATATGGCTTAAATACTCTCCTTAGCCATGTTTGAGTCGGCACCTGGCAGTACCCTCTAAATGTTGGTCCCTGGCTTCATTCTAATCTTGAGATTTAGAAAACTCAGTGATGCAAACCCAAAACTTTACGATCCTCTCAAGTGATCATGACCGCAACAGCCCAGAGTACGACTGAGAAGCCTCCTTCACCGCTCCCTTTCACTTTCCCCCTCCAGACACAAGGCGCTCCCAGGCTCTGGATGGATTCCCTCCTCTTCCTAGATCCACCTTCTTGATGACCTAACCCAGTACCACTGCTCACATTTCACACACACAACTTCCAAATTCACATCTCTGGCCATGAGTTCTTCCCCAACATCCTGCTACCCATCTGACTTTCCTGGGGTATCAGATAGGCATCTCATATTCACTGCATCTGTGTCCAAAATGTGAGCTTCTGCTCCGCCTCTCCAACACAGCCTCTCCCTGTAGGCTTCACTCTCCCGTCACATTCACTGCTGTGTCCCACAGCCTCGAGCAGACACAAAGTAGGAACTTGAGGAATACTCGTGGAGAATGAGCAGATATGGGAAGGAATCAACTGCTACGTGATTCACTGCTCAGTGCTCCTACACCTCACATGTCAGTTACTCTGCAATCTGCACGGAACTGGCAAGACAGCTCGCCACACCCACCATCCATACATACACACTCCAAAGTTATATACAGGAGTATACTTACTATCTAAAATGACCCCAACCAATGGGTCCGAATTTTTATTTAAAATTTCCCAAAGGGCAAAGGGCTCCTGGGGAGTGTTGGGAAGAATTCGGAAGAGAAAACTGATTGTGTAGTCAGAAGGCAATCCTCCCGGATGTAAATACCTGAGGGTGGAAAGAGAAGACTGTTTTATTACATCTTCCTGTAAAAAGTTTCCCTCTGATTCTAAAGTAAATATACTTTCATAACACAAGCTTTTGAAAAACAAAGAAAGATTGGCATTAATCCCAACCAGATCTCTGTTTTGATGTGGTACACAAATTTCCTTCCACTTTTTAAAGAATACATATGTTTGCCCAATATATATCATTTGGTCCCATTCTTTTCTTAGCATCATTTAATAAACATTTTCTATTTTCTTTAATTTTTTTAGTAGCATGGATCAAACTGAAGGCCTCACACATGCTAGCCAAATGTTCTATCACTACCCCTGTTTTTCTTAAGTAATTTTCAAAACATGGTATTTAACGGTGTCTTCTCTTGTAGGCTAGTTCATAACTTAGGTACTAATCAGACACTTCTCATAGAGAATTTTAGTAATTTCAAAAGTTTTGGTATAATAATGTTTCTCCACAGCCCATTTGTAAAGTTTGGGATTTTGCTGCCTTGTAGGTAGTTGTGTTTTGGTCTCTGGTAAGGCCTTCAATGCACGTCTAGCTCCACTTTCAAGAATGAAGTCTCCATGACCCCGGTCCTGGGAGTGTGGTCTGAAGGTTGCTGTCAGACACCACCTTCCCTCTGGAATTGCCTCAGCTGGAGAAAACACCTCTCCCAGGGCCATGTCTCCTTTCAAGGAGTCTCTTTTCATGTCCTGTCTTTGGGGGAGTGTAAGGACCAGAACTTCTGGTCCCAGGAGGACACAGCTCTGAAGGAACTTCCTGTGTCCAGCACTCTCCTGAGGGGTCACCTGGGGCTTTGCTGGGATTTTTCACCACACAATTCCTCCTCTGCCCTGTGCTGCTTCCTGCTCTGCCTCCCCTGAGAGCAGACCATCATCACCTTGGTGACCATAAGCATCCTCCTGGGAATCTGCTTCCAGGGGGCCAACCTTCCAGAATCTTCCAGAACTTTCCAAAATCTTATCTCTCTTTTTTGTACTTCTTTACTTTTGATCTTCCCTCCAATAAAGCAATGCAAATAAAAATAGCCTTTCATGTATAGTAAGAACACATAATAGTTATTAATTGAATGAATAAGTTCATGAATATATGGAAATTTACATGAATTTCAGAATGGAAGGTTGCCTTGCACAGATAGAAACAAATATTTCATTTATTCATGTATTATTTAATTAATTTATTCAGCAAATACTTAATTGAATGCCTATGAGACACCAGCTATAGTAACAGACATTCAAAACACATTAGTTAATAAAACTGACAAAGAGGTCTATTCTTGTAATACTGGAATTCTAGTATGCCAAATTAAATATTATGTTAGGTCATAAAAATTCTGCTAAAAAACAAACAATAAAACATCTTAAAAAGAGATTGGGACTTTTGGTGATGGATTATGCAACAATTTTAATGAAAGCAATCAGGAATGACTCGTGTACAAGCTTATATTTAAGCAAAGTTGCATTGAAAAGGTTCTATTTGAGCAAAATCTCTAGTGAAGCGTGGGGCAAAACAACCAGCCCGGGTTTCACTGGAGGAGGCGTCTCGGGCTGAGAGGACCCTGAGGCGGGGGCCTATTGTGTGGCTGGAGAAGATCAAAGGGATGGGGGGATGCGGAGGCCCACAGGCCACGGGGAACCCGACCAGAGCCGACTCACGGCTTCCAATAGTGATTCTCGTGGCTGGTGGAGAAGTGAGACAGAAGCAAAGAGAGGCAGAAGCAAGAAGGCCGAGGAGCAGGTAGCTACAGAGATCTGCAGAATCGCCCAGGGCCGACCAGGGTGACAGCCGCGAGGTGTGCTCAGGCCCACACCGCAGGGCTCTGTAGCAGACGGGACGCGCACAGGACTGAGAGGAGTGGGTGGGGCTCCCGCGGAGCCCGAAAACCCGCTAAATGGCTCTCTGTCACTGAGATGGATCAGGGAAGTAAGTGATGCTGGAGCGAGAGGCAGGTCCAGGGCTGTGGCACGGGACATCTGCGGTGTGGAAACAGCCTCCAAGGAGAGCGCCCTGGCAGGCAACGGACAGGATGGACCTTGGGAAAAGGATTGGCCCAGAAGTCCAAACTCAAGGGTACTGGCCCGGAGATGGTGCTTGACGCTGTGCCAAAGAGACCCCAAAGGCTGGAGGAGCCAGCGTGGAAACCAACCCCGGGCAATGCAGCGAGGAGCCCTCGCGTGTGCCCCAGAAGCCCGAGGAGAGCAAATGAGGAGGAGGAAGCACCTGGCGTGTCACACACGGGTGACAGTCCAGAGTGGGGAGCGACTTCCTGAGTCTTGGAGAGATTCTTCCTTAGCAGTTCTCCTCTGGGGTCGGCTTCCGGGCCGCCCCACTGTAAAATTTAATGTGAAAAAAATCCTGCCGAAAAGGAACATTGGGCTTTGGGCTTATATAAAACCATCTGTATTCTGTAACTCAGTCATTTCTAACATATTTTTTAAAACAAAACTGTTTTTCTATAACAACAAATATTTTAAATTAGTAGAAAAGTTCTACTGACTTCAAACATTGCTCCCTATAATAAAGCACAGCAAAAGAATTTGGAGAGTAGGGTAGGATTTAGTAAAAACTATTTTAGAAAAAGAGAAGAAAGCAGCTGTTGTAAATTGGACAAATAAGTGTGTAACTCTAATGTGATCTCCCTTACTTTTCCATGTCCATGTGTGCAGTATGTCAACATTCAAACAATACCAAATGTTTCACAGGAAACAGACATGTTTCAAGCAAAACCCACATGGACTTGGAAAGCAGTGTGGTGGACGAGGCCTGAGACACCGGTTTTGTAACCTCGCGGCTGAGGCAATCTGGCCTCACTACCTTGGGCCTGTGTCCTGGGTGCCCCACAAACCTCATAGAGGTGCAGCTAACATGGGTCCCCAGGCCTGCTCAGTGCTGCTGTGACTTCTCAGACATAAAAGCCACCTGGATGACGGCACCATAGTGAACCAGTTCAGGGCCTGAGCTCCCCATCCGCCTGCCACGTGCAAATTGCAGTGTCACCACTGAGCAAACCGTGTGGTCCTACTTCAGGACCTGTTGCATCATTTGTAAAACTGAAATAATAAGTCGAGTGTGGTGGTGCACACCTGTCATCCCAGCACTCAGGAGGCTGAGGCAGGCGGGCCACCATGAGATCAAGGACAGCCTGGGCTACATAGTGAGTTCAAACCCAGCATGAACCACATAGCAAGACCCTGTCTCAAACAAACAAGCAAATAACAAAAGCATGAAAAGTACACAAATAATAACGGCACGTACTTCACAGAGGTGTTTGAGGGTGAGAGTGAGCACACAGAGGCACTTAGAATACTGCCCAGTGCACTGTAGTGTAAGTATCAGCTATTTTTATTTATCTTCTCAGATGAATAGACACTAAAATTCAATCAGCATTATATATGAGTCTGATGTTTTTAAACAAAGGAATATGAGCATCATCTGCTCTAAACATCATGGAAAATGCTACCAAGAACAATTATAGCATATTTCAAATTTAATATTGAGACCCAGTAAGCACACAATTGGCTGTAGGATCAGCAACAGCAATGTACCTGGTTGGCTGGGAGACCAGGGCATCTTTGTGCAGTTGGTAACACGGATACACGTTGAAGGTACCAGGCTCCATAGAAACCCCTTCCACCGATGAAAATTCCTTTTCAACCAAACCAAACATTTCCATCATCTTAAATCCTAAAAGAGAGAGGGAAGGAGAACAGAGGGCAAGAGAAACAGAGAGAGAGAGAGAGAGAGAGAGAGAGAGAGAGAGAGAGAGA